GATATATATATATATATATATATATATACTCTCGGGTTCAAACTTTTAGCTAAACTATTTTGGGACTGTATTTTCCATATTATGGTCAAGGGTCCATATTTTTAAAGTTAAAAAAAGTATCTGTTATTTAGCGAACATGGGTTTTTGTGTTTAATTTTATCATTTAATGTACACTCTCAGAAATAAAACTATCACCTCTGATAATTCAGCAATCTTTGAGTTGTATTTCGATTCACAACGAAATCACATGATTTTTCGACGAAATCACATGATTTGTCGAAATGCGAGCTGTCACATATACGACGAAAATTTTTCCTCAACTCGGAACCTCATCACAGTGCATTGTGGGAGATTGTTATCTTTAATGAAGACTGGAAAATTGAAAATAAAGTGACTGAGCAAGCCGAACAGACTATGTGGTGGTCAGGGGGTTGGCCACAAAGCCGGAAGATTCTACGTTCGAATCCAGCTTTGTTATTTGTTCTATTCGTCCTTCTTGTGTTGTTTGGGTGACATTCATATGGTGCCTACAATGAATTGAATACGAGGAAAGTTAGATATATTATGCCCTGAGAGGGTTTTTTTCTGAAAAAAAAATTGAATGATGAAACATTTATTTAATTTTGACGAAATTCTCTAGAAAATGTGATAGTTACGTCACTACTTGGACGAAATTTTTGTTGGGAGTATACATCAGGAAATAGTTTCTTCAAAAACGAAGAAAGTTTGGTGAAGTTTGAGCATTCATTTTTTACCGTGCACTTAGAAAAAAAAAGTATGGCTAAAACAGCCCGAATATTGCAAAAACTAACGTGTTTCTTGTTCTAAGGAATTACGAAAAGCTCGGTAGTTTTTGGTAAAGTAAATAAAATCGTTCTTTTTTTTTATCATGAGATAAAATTTAATAATATTATCACGATAGCTTAGCGAATGACATAAAAATCATTTATTGGGCTTAATTTACTTTTCAGTTTCGTGTTTTTAACTAAATGATTATAAGAATTATATATTTTGAAAATCGGAATTTCTGGTGAACCATTACCTTATGAACAGAAAAATTATATTTTAAATACCGTATATTTTGGTTTCATTATCCGGAATTTTTTTTAATTTTTTTTTAACCAAAACTGTCACTACTATACAGTCCTGTAATTTTACCAGAATTGTTTCTCCGAATGACTAGGCAATACTAACTTTTAGCGTATTTATGTTCTACTCTTCGAACAATGAGGTAGCATCTTAATATACATTAAATCAAAAGTTATTGATATTGATACCTCTTCTTTTCATTCTCTGCATCAACAACATAATTTTTTTATTTTAAATTTATTGAAAATCGATTTTTTTTCATGTAGTTCCTAATTACCTTTCAGATTTGAAATTTTCAATTCAAGAAAATGAATTATGTTTTTTAATTGTTGTTTTGACTTAGGTAATGGTCCTTGCTTGGGGTGGAGACCCAGTAAAGATTCCTGCTACGTATTCCTTACCTATGACGAGGTAAATTGTTACATACATACAAGTAGCTCAGTTATGTAATTTTTAATGTCAAGCATAAAATGTTTTCTTTATATATCGTTGTAGGTATTAGAAAAAATACAGAATGTCGCATCGGGACTTGTGCACTTAGGAATGAAGCCTGGCCAAGAGACATACATCGGAATATACGCACAAAATTGCCTTGAAGTTAGTCAATAAACATTTTCTTTTATACCTTAAGCAGAAGAAATCCTGTTTTTAAGAATTATTACTAGATACTACCCATACTTTGAGGGTTTACTCATACTTTTAGCGTCGGATTGTTTTGTTGCATGCGTAATTTGATGTTTTTACAAAAGAGGTTAGGAAAGATCCGAAACAAAATTTTATTTCAGCTATTTATTGCAATTTTAGATTAGAGTTCGCCTTTACTTAGTATGAAGCAAAGAAATCAAATTAAACAAGTCAAATAGTGGATCAGTAAAGCAAAACTCAATAGATCAACGCGTGACTATTGCATATTGCAATCAACCAATTGCCTAGAGTTACGGTATCTTGCAAACGCTAGTTAAGCTCACTGTTTAGCTTCTTGCACAGCACATGCTCAAAAACTTCCCAACAAAGCGCAGTATCACCCAGGGGTGAAAATAGGATCAACATTGCGGCTAATGTAAAATAAACGGTGTGAAAAATCTTATTAATGAGAGTATATTATTTTATTTCATAACCGACGTTGAACAGCCGACCCAATTCTTGGGTTAGCGACTACTAATGTCCAATTACGTAACGTTGTAATTTTGAACCCAATCCAGAAGACAGGGGAACGCTTGGATCAAGTATTGGAAGATATCTGCCCTCGTGGAGGACTTTTTGATCAAACTAACTCACATTTGCGTTATATGGAGAGGAAGACAACGAGAAACTCCCACGGTTAGTCTGACGGCAGGGGGACTCTAACCCATGATTGTCTACCCCTGGGGATATTTCACGTCAGCACTGTGGTCGGTGCAAGACTGATGCGGAATTCGTATCGACCAGCCATCGCTGGGTTCCGAACCCGGTTTACCTCATGGGAAGGCGAACGCTCTATCCCCTGAGCGTCTCTATGAATGAGAGTATTGATAGATCAATTGATTAGACAATCTGAAATTGAGTGAATCTACAGATCAGTGAATGAATAAATGAGCATATTTACAAACGAATGTTATAAGAGATAAAATCAATTTATGAATCAGTGAATGGGTGAATCACTAAATCAATTAACCGAATTAGTGGAAGAATGAATTAGTAAAACAGCAAATTAATGAATCAGTAGATTAGAAGATGGGCTTATAATTGAAACGGAAAATTAATGAATCAGTGATTCGCCAATCTGCTGAATCGTTTATTTATTAATTCGATGCTTCGTTTTTTCATTGATTTACTGATTTGTTAATTAATTGTTAAATTTTAACAAGGCTTCATGTTTTTTAGATTAAATTTTATTTGCATCGTATTTATTTAAGTACTTTTTTATTTAAAATATTAAATTTAAATTTGATATTTTGATTTCATTGTTAACGTCTTCCTGAAGTTACGCAAACGGGATATGGCAATGACTTGTGATATGAACCGAAAACAATACTAGTGCATGCGTTTACTTCACTACCATATTTTATCAGCGAAAGCAAATATCTGATCTCCGCACCACACTCCTTAACAACATAACCATGTGTGAACTTTTCTGGCATTAACGATAAAAATCTGAATCCATTGTATATTAGTATCTAACTTAAGAAGTCATAAAGTAATTAAAAACGTAAGTATATATACTATACTGATGATAATCCTGATAAAAAAGGTAATTTTTGTAAATAATTTGTGTATGTATAATTTGTGTTGTGTATGTATTTGTGTATGTATTATTAAACAAATGCCAGCCATTGACTATTAGGTCATTAGGCTTCTAGCTCTCCAGTACTTCTTAACAATGCAGTCAAAGTCTTTTAGTGCAGAGCTTTTGTCCAAATGCGCAGCAGTCTTGGCTTGTCCGGAGTTACATAAAAGACAATCTGATGAAGTAGTCAGCTTGAGGCGAAATAAATGAGAACCTGGACAATCATGTCCGATCAAAAGTTTAAACATGGCTACCGCAGTAGCACGGGGAGAACCCGGAGCACTGTGAGTTCTACAGAGCACATTCCAGGACTTATCTGCAGCAGCGTGAGATGCCAAACAATGAAATGATTGTTTGAAGATTTTTTTTGTTTAGCGGAATGGATGGACAGATCTCTACACGACCTCTGAAGAATGTGAGTTCCCTTTTTGGCCAAAAAGTTAGCCATTTCGTTTCCTCGAAAACCACAATGGGATGGGACCCATTGAAATGCAATACTTCCCTCAATCCTCTTCAGGAGTTCTCTGCAGCTCAAAACAATGGAATTACTATTTTCTGGGTTGCTTGACAAAGCCTGAAGGGCAGAGGTAGAATCTGAAGCAATCACAGCTTACTCAGGGCGGGTAAGACGAACAGCAAGTTGTTGGAGAGCAACTGCTTGTATAGAAACATGATTTTTATGCATGTAAATATTTGTGTATGTATAGAAATATTACTTTTACAGTTTAAATGATTTATGCTTGATTTTATTGCATGTCTTTATGATGAACTATATATTTTTCTCCTGATTTTACAGTGGGTTATCACAGAACATGCTTGTTACCATCAATCTGCTGTTGTAGTTCCTCTCTATGATACATTAGGTCCAAATGCATGCTCATATATCATTAATCAAGGTAGAGTGTAGCTTTCTTGTGATTTTAATGATTAAGTTTAAATAATATTGTTTAGGTTATTATGTTTTCTATGCTTTAGAAAACGTTTGAATATCCATAAGAGGAACTTATAGGTGATGTTCATATTAAGCGACACTTTCATAAATTTACATTGAAAAAATATGGTCAAAACTACCAGAATATGGTAAAATTTACAGTGTTTTTGGCTTTAGGGGAACACAAAAAAACATGGGTAGATTTTACCGGAAAGCTTTGGTAATGATTTTGGTAAATTTAACTATAAAATGTGATTTTATAGTATGTGATAAAATTTGGTAATTGTATCATGTTACCTTAGAGCATGGAATAAAAGTCATTTATTCGGGAAAATTTACTTTTCAGTTTTGTATTTTTCCGTAAATGCATGGTAATAGGAGCTGTAGTTTTTAAAAACTAAAATTTCCGTTCAGCTGTTGTCATATGAACGGAAAAATTACTAAATGAATGATTTAAAAATCGCATATTTTGGTTTTATTTACAAGAGTTATGTTTTTTTTTTACCACACGGTAAAGGTAATTTTGCCGAAATATACTCAGTGTAATACAAAGAACAGGATTTCCCAGTTAAATTTCATGTGAAAGGACAGTCAATGTAGAATCACGATGAGAAGGAGAAAAAAAAATGTTTATAAAATTGAAATCTTTTATAACTATTTAACTGATTAGAAACTTCCAGAAACGGTAGTTAGTGTAAACGGAATATTATTTATTGATATTGGGGCAAAAAAGCTAACAGCTTTAGAAAATAAAGAGAATAAGTGCTTTTGAAATGTGTATCCATCACATTTTTAATTTATTAAACTAGGGAATTTAAAAAAACGATATTAGCGACTTGGACTTATCAATTTGCTGCGCCTCATTTGAAACTAATGATGAAATTAAATGAACCAGTATTGATTTTAAATACTGTTAATGAAGGTGGCATTAATAACTGTCTAAAAGCACTCTTAGGAACAAAACTGTTCTGCATACTTTGAGATGCATTTTGAGATTTTAAACATTTATTTCGTCATGAAATCTCTTTGATTCAACAAAACGTGAATTCTTAAGTACTTGACGAAACTGCTTCCTCATTGTCACCCAATATTTTCTAGGCGTTTTTCAGCATTTTTCAATCTTATTTCAAAGCGGTTTTCTGTGTATGACGGGATGGTACAGGGCTTAGTTTTCTCTCCTGCCAAGCAGAGTTCACAGGTTCAAATCTTGCTGATGACTGAGATTGCATTCGTTCATACTGTTTTTATTATATGTTGTATTTCCCAATCATTTTTGTTAATCGTTTCCCCCAAAAAGTTGTAATTTCCTCGATTTAACGAAGTGTTCGAGGGGAGAATTTTTTAAAAATGGTTTTACAAACGTCGAAAAAACATCGTGAGTTTTGAGAGTTTACTTTTTTACCGTGGAGGAATATAAATTATATGTCTGATAAAAAAATTGAGTCAAGTTTTTTGTAAACATTTAACACATTACTACTTTAATGTAACAAGGGTATTATTTAACAAAATGGCGTGCACGACATGTGTAATACACGCTCGCTGTTTAATAACCTGACGGATGAGAATTAACAAATAACTGAGTAAAATTGGTAATAGTTGCATTGTTAGAAATTTCTCATAACAATGGTTAAGAAGCTATTAATTTAATTGTTATTTTACTGGATTCGCATAAAACAGTCACAAAACCATAAATAAGATGGTATTCAAACTGTTAAGTGTGAGAAAAACCGTTTATTAAACAACCAGAATTTTATCGCACCAGCAAAGCCCACCTATTGAAGAAACTCATTTCTTGTAGATGCTTACGTATTATATCCGAGAGGGCTAATTTTTCAGTCTCATCAACGTTGGTGTCATAATATATCCTCAATTCCCTTCATCAGGAGTCTCTGTATTCTCCTAAGCCCATTACCTAACAAAAAGCCAAGTTTCAATGTCCAGTTAAATTTCTTTTTTTATGGTTTTGAAACCATTCTAGTTGTAAATGGTTAAAAAACCCGTATAGTTTAGTATTCATGGTTTTATGACCTTACTAGTTGTAAACGGTTGCAAAACTCCATAAAGGTTAAAAATTTTCTTTACCGTAAACCTTACGGTTAATGTGATGGACAGACCGCTGCCGTTTATTTCACCATGATTTTAGAATGAAAATTTTATCAGTGTGGATTTACAAAATAAGTGAAAATGTTATGAACTCAGAGTTTATGCAAATTTTATTGACGCTGCGAGTTTGCCGAAAAAATATGCTCAATTCTGATTGCTGCTTAAATTAATAAAATTGTGTCGGGCAACTAAAAAACACTATACATCTAAACAAAATATTAAGCCTAATAATGTTTATGTTTACTTTTTTCGGATTCCTTTACTAAATATTTTTTGTTACACTTTCAGCTGATATTAAAACAGTAATGTGTGATACTGAAATCAAGGCAAAGAATCTTTTGAACGAAGCCAAGAACACACCACATTTGCGACGAATTATACTAGTCAAGAAAGCTTCAGATGAACTGAAACTTTTAGCACAAACTGCAAAAGTGCAATTAATAGCATTTAGTGAATTAGACGTAAGTATTTTTTAAAAGAATATTTTCCGCAATTTTATAAAATTGGAGCATTTTTATTTTCATCATTATCTATTAATAAAAAGTTTGAATCTTATATTTATGAAATTTATTTAAATTAAAATTTTTTATTTAAATTTAGTCTGAAAAACAATGGTAACTCCATACAAGGTGTTATTGTAATATTAATTCTATTAATATTAATTCTAGTCTNCAAGTAGCCTGATTTCATACAGATGCAATCAGACTAAATAATAATAATAATAATAATGAAACCCAGAGGCTTATTCCGATGTGATCAAAAAACAAGTTATACTTTTAGCGGTTAAGTGGTCAGTTTTTTAGTCGCTAAAATTTACTTCAATTAAAAAAGTTTGTTTTCAGAGAAACTGAAAAATATTTGTAGAAAAATTTATAGTTACATGCATTAGAATTCCTATATTTAAGAAAGAGTACAAACTTCAGAAAAGTTACTTTTTGGGATCATTTAAGCTTTTTTTTTACTGTTTAACTCTTTTTTAATTATTGTTACTAGTAATATTTATGCTAAAAATATACATTGAAGTCCTCGTATTCTATTTATCTTCACAATCACTTCCACTTAATTTATAGAAGTTATAAGTCTAACTAAAGCCCAAAAATACTTTTTGGTTTTAAATAATACCCCAGAACAAAAATTTCAAACTGATTTATAATGATTCTTATAATTGTATAAAAAAATATCATACAATCTTTGAATATTTAAATGAAAACCTGCAGTGAAGTTTGGTTAAACAAATGAAACTGCTTATTTTAAAATATAATAAAAAAATGCATTATTTTTTTGATTATTATTGATTGAAATTTATTGTAAATATTTACTCCCTAACTGCACCAAAAGTTAGATTTCTCTTGAAACTGGCTTCACAAATCCCATTTTAACAGCACCAATAAAAATAGCATACTTTGCATAATGGAATTATTAAACAATCGCATATAATAAGACACAAATTATGAAATCGCAAGGATCTTAACTTAATGGAGAATTATATCATATTCCAATAAGCTATTAATTTTTGACATTTGAAATTCACAAAGAGATAGATTTTTCCAATTCGCTTACAAAATGTATAAACGAAGAATATTTTTGTGATATAACAAAAATAGTTCCATTGGAAAGTAATGATGCCGTGATAATTTTAGTTATTCTATGATTGCAAGTGTAACACTAATATCAGAACAAATTTTTTCCCCTTTATTTCTTGACAGTCCAGTGGAAAGTTCTTTGAACTTTCTTTTACAGAATTTACAGGTTACTCGAACATTTTTTTTAAAGAAGTGTCTTGTACAGAAAGGAAATCTCAAATATCATGTTATTATTCAAACAAGATTCACTCATGTCCTTGATAATAAATGTTTTTGTTTGGTTCATACGCTAATTATGAATATGGAAATTTCGCAACGAATAGTTCTCCTGCGGATCACAGTGATCACACTGATTAACAAATTTTAAAAAGTTAGGGATATTTTAATAACCAATACATTTTCATAGGCAGTAAAAATATTCTGATTCAAAGTATGCCAGCCATTTATCTCAGTCACTAAGCGTTGTTCAGATATACTGTTTGTCTAAGATAGGTACTCTGACCGCCACTAAGTCTGCGGTAGTCTGGTGCTATGGAAACAAGAAGAGGGCATTTTAGGGAGGGTGACTTCGATGAAGAGATCTCCTTTTCTTTTGCCGAAACCAGTCCTAAAGAGGGACCCCGCATCCCTACTTGAAATAATCATACCTCGTTACCGTAGTCACCGCCACAGCTCCAGACGAATGTCTGGCAGATTACCTATCGTAGACAAACAGTACTTCTTCAGCCATTTATATTTCACTGGAGTCATTTACTGTTACATTGAGAACTCATGAACATATTATTACCTTAGACTAACAAAACAGTCATGTTAAGTCATGTTGTTGTTGTCGTCCGTCATTAAGGCAGAGGGGGTGTGATTGTTCTTGTTTTCCAGTGGCGCCATCTATGGCTAAGAATTCGACTCCTGCCACACCCGTTTATAGGGTGGATCCATTCATTCGTCCACAATCGTGATTTTGACCTGAACCAGAAAACGATCAATCTCCCATTCAGTACCTCCAGAGGTTTGATTTGTTATGGGAACATGGAGGACTTTGTGACTCGACAAATTTAACGTGCATGGGTCAACTTTTACTACACGGGGAGTCTTCGGCTGACTGGATTCGAACTCCCGTTCTCACAAACGTGGTCCAGCGCAATGCCCGATTAAGTCATATCACATGCATACTGCATAGCATCTATTCAAAGTCAACTCGCATAAAATTAATACACACTAAAAATGCATCCTTAGCCTAAGGTATACAGTGTTGTTCACATCTTGTACGCCCACACTGAAGCAAAACTGAAAAAAGCACTAGATAAAAAGCACTGGAAAGAATCTGAAAAAAAAAAAAGATTTTGAAAAATAAATTGTATTTAATTAAATTAAATTCATGTGATTGCTAAAGTAGTGCTTTTTTTCCCGATGCTTTTCTCCAGTACTCATTTTCCTTGCATTTTCTTCTAGAACTTTTTACCACAGCATTTTTTTTTGTGGCTCTAGTATAAAGTGTCACTCATTGCAAGGATATTCACTAACTATTTGTGTCTGTGGTGAAAATGTGTAGTTGACCTAATGTTAACAAATTTCATCAAAATTAATAAATTTTAACTAATATTTAATTACTGAAATTAAAATGAATTAAAATTAATAATCAAAATGAATAAAAACTAATAATTAATAATTAAAAAAAATTACAAATAATTAAAATTGATAATTAAAGCAAATTAAAATTAATAATTAAAATGAATTAAAATTAATAATTTTGAATTATAATTAAAATTAAAAAAAATTTAATAAATAAATGTAAACATTATTTTATTAAAATTAATAAAATTTAAATAGTATTCAATTTAAATTAATAAAATTTAAACAGTTTTCTATGAAAATTAAACGGTGTTCCATGAAAATTGATTTTTGGTCAATATCTTAAATACTTAACGCAATGGAGCAAGACATTTTCAGATTTGAAATCAGCATAACAAACTGCAACCGAAAAAGCAAACACTATGCCAGTCTATATATAGTCATAGACTATCAGTGTCATCAGAAATTCTTGTTACATGAAAAATCGTACCAATAAAGTCTTTAATAGGGTTCTAGATTAGTTTGTTGCGGGTACAGTTTTATGTGAAGGTATAATTTTCGCAGCTTAATTATTAGAAAACACAGCACACGGAGAAAAAAATTCTGGTAAAATTACCATATTGTATGGTAATGATATTTCTAGTATTTAATATAACTATAATTTTGGTTAATAAAACCTTACTGTATAGTATTTAAACCATTCGTAACGGTTTTTCCGCGAATTCTGGTTCTCAAAACTATAACATCTAGTAAACATGTAATCCCACATCTAGTAAAAATACAAAACTGAAAAATAAATTTACCGAATAAATAGTTTTTATTCCATGCTCTACGGTATTATGATATAATTGATAATTTTAAAACAATATTTTACAACACATATCCTAAAATAATATTTCAATGTTAATTTTATAAAAATCATTACTAAAACGTTCCGGTAAAAACTACCATTAAGCCAGAAGCACTGTAAAGTTCGGAATATTATAGTAGTTTCAACAATACTTAATTTCTTAGAGTATGTTATTTAGATTCACAATACTTATTTAAATTAGAATCCACAAAGATTAATTAAAATAGCAGGAAAAAATGAAAAAAAAAATTCCTTGGCAAAGCAAATTATTAATTTATATACACCACCGAAGAATATTCTTGAATATGCTTTTTCAAAGAATGTTCGTTATAAAAAATAGGAAATTTGTTTGCTGTGGGTCATACATCACTTAAAAAAAGTTCGTGAACATGCTTTTCAAGCAACTGTCATTAGATCAGCAATTAGTTTGTGTCTGCTAAAAGAACATACTCTACCGATCGAAAGTTTATGAACAAGCTCTTCAAACAGCCATGAAACTTTTCAACTTTTATTCAGACATTTTCAAAGGTAATATAATAATTTTCAAAAGGAGACACAACCTTAAAATCTAAATATTCTTGCATCCATAAAATGTATAAAATAAATTTGTTAAATTCAATTTTACGAACTTCAATGAATAAAATGAACTAAAAATGATTCTAAAATATCATTTAATAAGTAAGGGTTTTAAGTTAACTTAATGAGTTAAATTCATATAATTCGCCTAAGCCTAACATGGAAGACGTAGAATATGTTTTCTATCTGAACAAGATCGAATATGATGCTCATAATTAATGTTACATAGTTTTCCAGTTTGAGTCAAAACTTATTTGTTTTATGAATGTTTGTAAAAAGCCAATTTTCTTAATATAAAAGTTTTATCGCAAAAAAAAAAAGAAAAATGTATGTTTTGCTATTTTAGCCCCCAACTCCATCAATGGTTGCAACAGTTTGCTACACTAGTGGGACAACGGGAGACCCCAAAGGTGTTGTTCTTACTCATGGTAATATGATCGCCTGTGCTAGTGCAATTATTTTAGTAATGGTAAGATTTTGTTTTCTGCATAAATTTCAATTATTTTATGTCAACTAAGGATTATAATTATCTTTATATAGAATTTTGCTAAGTAAGTCAGAAATTATTGTACGGAGTGTAAAATAAAAAATGGAACTCCTAGATAAGTTTTAATTTAATGATCAGAACTTTCAAGTTCGAGGATCTAACCTTAAATATGCTAAAAAATTTCTACAAACGATGTTTTAAGTTATTGTTAAGTTATTGTTACTCAATATTATGGGTTTACGACTACTAATGTTCAACTCCGTAGCCTTGTAATTTTTAACGCAATACAAAAGACAAGGAAACTTCTGGGTCAAGTATTGGGAGAAATATGTCTTCGTAGAGAACTCTTTCATGGAACTAACCCACATTTGCGTTACATGGAGAGAAACCCCCCGAAAGCCTCCCACGGTTAGCCTAATGGCAAGGGGACTCTAACCCATGATTCGTCTACCTCTGAGGATAGTTTACGTCAGCACTGTGGTCGGTGCGAGCCAGTCGGATGCGTAATTCGTATTGACCAGCCATAGCCGGAATNCTAAAGTTAGATTTCTCTTGAAACTGGCTTCACAAATCCTCTTTTAATAGCACCAATAAAAATGGCATACTTTGCATAATGGAATTATTACACAATCACATAAGCTACTAATTTTTGACATTTGAAATTCCCAAAGAGATAGATTTTCACAGGTACAAGAACAGCACACGTGGAAAAAAATTATGGTCTATATTGTATGGTAATGATATTTCTAGTAAAAAACTATAATTCTGGTTAATAAAACCTAAATATGCAGTCTTTAAACCATTCATTTGGTAACTGTTTTTCGGCGAATTCTAGTTTTCAAAACTATAATTCTTATCATCCCATATCTAGTAAAAATACAAAACTAAAAAATAAATATACCGAATAAATAGTTTTTATGCCATGCTCTGAGGTATTATGATATACTTGCTAATTTTAAAACAATATTTTACAACACATATCTTAAAACAATATTTAATGTTAATTTTATAAAAATCATTACTAAAACGTTTCATTAAAAACTACCATGATTTTTAGCGTTCCCATTAAGCCAGAAACACGGTAAAGTTCTGAATATTATAGAAGTTCCAATAATATTTTATTTCTTAGAGTATGTTATTAAGATTCACAATACTTATTTAAATTAGAATCCACAGAGATTAATTAAAATAGCAGGAAAAAATGAGAAAAAAATTCCTTGGCAAAGCAAATTATTAATTTATATACCCCACTGAAGAATATTCCTGAATATGCTTTTTCAAAGAATGTTCGTTATAAAAAAAATAGGAGATTTGTTTGCTGTGGGTCATACATCGCTTAAAAAAAGTTCGCGAACATGCTTTTCAAGAGACTGTCATTAGATCAGCAATTAGTTTGTGTCTGCTAAAAGAACAAATTCAACCGATCAAAAGTTTATGAACATGCTCTTCAAACAGCCACGAAACTTATAAACTTTTATTCAGACTCTTTCAAAGGTAATATAATAATTTTCAAAAGGAGACACGACCTTGAAATCTAAAATTCTTGCATCCTTAAAATATGAAATAAATTTACTAAATTTAATTTTGAGAACTTAAATGAATAAAATGAACTAAAAATTATTCTAAAATATCATTTGATAAGTAAGGGTTTTAAGTTAACTTAATAAGTTAAATTCATATAATTCTCTTAAGCCTAACATGGAAGACGTCGAACATGTTTTCTATCTGAACGAGATCGAATTTGATGCTCATAATTAATGCTACATAGTTTTCCAGTTTGAGTCAAAACTTATTTGTTTTATGAATGTTTGTAAAAAGCCAATTTTCTTAATATAAAAGTTTTATCGCAAAAAAAAAAAGAAAAATGTATGTTTTGCTATTTTAGCCCCCAACTCCATCAATGGTTGCAACAGTTTGCTACACTAGTGGAACAACGGGAGACCCGAAAGGTGTTGTTCTTACTCATGGTAATATGATCGCCTGTGCTAGTGCAATTATTTTAGTAATGGTAAGATTTTGTTTTCTGCATAAATTTCAATTATTTTATGTCAACTAAGGATTATAATTATCTTTATATAGAATTTTGCTAAGTAAGTCAGAAATTATTGTACGGAGCGTAAAATAAAAAATGGAACTCCTAGATAAGTTTTAATCTAATGATCAGAGCTTTCAAGTTCGTGGATCTAACCTTATATACGCTAAATAATTTCTACAAGCGATGTTTTATGTTATTGTTACTTTTTTAAAACCAACGTGGAACAATCGACCCACTTTTGGGTTTACGACTACTAATGTTCAACTCCATAGCCTTGTAATTTTTAACCCAATACAAAAGACAAGAGAACTTCTGGGTCAAATATTGGGAGAAATATGTCTTCGTAGAGGATTCTTTGATAGAACTAACCCACATTTTGCGTTGCATGGGGAGAAAAACCCAGAAAACCTCCCATGGTTAGCCAAATGGCAAGGGGATTCTAAACCATGATTCGTTTACCACTAATGATAGTTTACGCCAGCACTGTGGTCGGTACGAGTCAGCCGGATGCGTAATTCGTATTGACCAGCCACATCCGGAATTCGAACCCGGTTCCTTGGAAGGCTTACGCTCTATCCCCTGAGCCATTGCGGCTCAGTTGTTGTTACTTATGCCAATACCAGCAAGCGTGCTTGAAAAAAAGTGAATTTTTAAGGCCAAATGTGCGTTTCTTGTTTACTCAATAGTGCCATCTTTGGCGAAGATTTTTACTTCAGCCACGCACACGTCACAGCGTTTTTCAGTGAGGATTCAATCATATTTCATATCATTCACCCCCAGATCGTAATTTTGACCTGAACCAGAGAACGATCAATCTCCAATTCAGTACACTTAGAGGCATTGATTTGTTATCAACTTCGAGGACTTTGTGAGCCTGACAGATTTAACGTGCACCAATCACCATTTAATTTACGGGTATTCTTCGATTATTTGGGATTCGAACTCCCGTTCTAACGAACACGAACCCAAGGTCCTACCAACCAAGCTATCCCGGCCTACGTTGTTTTAAGTAGCAAAATCAAACACAAAACGTACTTGATCTGAACAAACATAGATTTTTTTTCTCCAATGGATTCGGATTCCTGACTCTCAAAATATAAGGGTAGCAGTAATCAGTTCCGGTAGTTAAGATAGAAAAGCTGTCGAAAGCGTTAGCCCATTAATATTAAATTATTTTGCGCATATTTTTAACTTATCAATGCCGTTATTTAAATGTATCAAAATTTTTTTTTCTAATTTGTTATACTCACCTGCAAAACTGTTTTATCAAAAGAAAGTTTTATGCAAAGTTATAATTATTCATTACTTTTTATTGTTTAATTTTATCATAGCTGAAAACTTTTTGATTTGTAGTGCAAGTTTTTACCTAATTTCGAACGATAAATTACCTAATTTCACACGATAATAAAAAAATAAAATTTGAAGAAATCGAAGTTTAAAAAATCGAATTATTCATGATTCGCAAATTGAATATTTTATGCGTACAGGGAGAAATAAAGTTTTTTAGATGCTTCGAAAAATTTTCTTTCAAATTTTTATTCGGAAAAATTTATCATTAAAGTTAGTAAAAAAGGAGTATAAAAATATTTTTCTACTCATAAAAAATATTATAATGAATATTAACATTAAATTTAAATGGAATAATACTAAATCCCAAAGAAAGGTGAGTTCGGCAGCTTTTTTTTTAAATGTAAAAAATGAATATTTTTAAAAAAATGTTTTTTATAAAATATTTATAAAATAATAGAATATTAATAGAGAAATCTTTTCTTTTTTAACAACAAAATAGTGATTTGATAAAAAAAAAATCAGTAGGAAAACAAATGTTTAACAATATGTATGTATGATTTATTTTTGTCACATAAAACTGCTCATGGAATAGAACTTTTTTTTATAATTTTTAGCAATAATTTGTTTTGATTTTTACACTCTTATTATTGTTTCAGGGTGTCAACGCGCCTACTTCATCAGACGTCTTAATTTCATATTTACCACTTGCTCACATGTTTGAAAGAATAACTCAGGTTCATCATTTTGATTATTTAATATTCTTTTATCTTCTATTTTGTTTGAAATATCTACTTATTCAATATGCCTTTATACATCTCCAACACAATTTCCGATCTTCGAGAAATTTTTAAAAAATGTACCATACTATTATTTTTTAAATGAAAAATTTGGAGATTAAAACGAGTAACATATGGAGAGATTAAATGCTTAGTATGTATTTTGTAAAACTTCTCCACCTAGAGTTATTCCAACATTTTATAATCCATTTAAGACATAATCACGACTTAAAACGAATGGAATAAATATTTATTTCGATAATTTTTTTTTATTGAATTTTGCCATGAAAACGTCAGTGTAAAACAGAAGTAATGAGGTTGAACCAATATTTCTGACATTTAGGAAAGGGACTAAGTTAATTTCGATATTCCCCATAGAAAATACGAAATCTTTGCAAGTTTTGACTACCACATTATAGTCATCTTCGTGTACGTCACAATTTTTCTTTTTCTGGGTAGGTACTTTATTTACGTCACACTAGGGCTGCACAATGGGCTATTGGCGGCGGTCTGGGAAACATCCCTGAGGATGATCCGAAAACATGCCAACGCAATTTTGATCCTCTGCAGGGGGGATGCCCCCCCCCCCTGCTTTGGTAGCCCGTCGACCTGCACGCGAAGTCGAGCACAGTTTAAAGCATCCTCGGTCCCTACGCAGGCTGATCATAGTGGTCACCTACCAGCTTACTGACCGCAGTCAGTGATGCTTGAATTCGGTGTTCTGTTGGGAACCGTGTCTTAACAATCAGTCTACTACGTTACATTTTTTTTAAATATCATTTCTTTTCAGATAGAAAAATACCGATAATTGCTGATGCGATTGAGAAATATCGATATTTAACTAAACTCTTATTCAATATTAGCTACAACCGCATGCTGGATATTGACTTCTGATGTAAATGAGAAATAATAATAATAAAGGACAAAAATCAAATTACCGTTAGTGTGGGCTGAATGTCAACATTTGCCACTGTAAGCGAAAAATAATGATGTTTAGAGAGTGTTTCTGACATTCAGTTCAAGTGAGTTTCGATATTTCCCCTTGAAAGTCCGAAAACTTGCAAATAATACTTTTATATAATAAATATATAATATACTTGAGAAATAATATTTTTTTACGAATTTTTTTCCCGATATTCTGAATTGTCATAATTTGCAAAGAAAGTGAGAAATAATGACAATTAATGATTTCTAACAAATGATTTCTAATTTTGGTCTTTTTTTTTTTAAACATGTGCAACATTTATACTATGCATACAACTTATTAACATTTACGACATGTTAACATTTGGGTTTAATTTTGGTCTTTCACAGTAACATCGATATTCACCGGAAATTATTGACAATCCCCAATATCGGTCTTTTTCAGTAACATCGATGTCCTCTTAAATATATTGGCACTTTATTAATTTTGCTCTTCAACTGTAAATTCCATATCCACTGGAAAATGTTAACATTTACTAATTTAAGTGTTTACTCTAACACCGATATTCATTGGAAAGTGTTGACATTCACTAATTGTTGACCTTTATTCTAACATCGATATCCACTGAAAAATGTTGACATTCACTAATTTAATTTATTTCTTCTGAACACCGATATCCACGGGTAAATGTATGCATTCACTAATTTCGGTCTTTTACCCTAACATCGATATCCACTGGAAAACATTGACATTCACAAATTTTGTTTTTTTTACTCTAACACAGATGTCCACTGAACCATTTTGACATTCACTAATTTTAGTCTTCCCCACGTATAAAAATATACTATACATTCACTAATACATTCACTAATTTTAATAAAATACACATTCACTAATTTTAGTCTTCCATTCGTATAAAAATATGTCATTGAATATCGATTAAAAAAAAGCATCATTGAAAAAATTGGCGATTATTTTTTAATATTAAATTTTTTGTTTTAAATCGATGTTAGATATCAAATATATGCATAGAAAATTTATTTAATTATATAACTTTTTATGTTAAATTTAATTAAATTATTTTATGTTTCAGATTCTGTCATATATTAGTGGGGGGAGTGTTGGCTTTTCTCAAGGAAATATAAAACTTTTAACAGACGATATAAAAACACTCCAACCAACTTTCCTCCCCGTTGTGCCAAGGTTGCTGAACAGGATTTATGACCAGGTAGATGAATGACCTTCTCTATCGCCTCGCATAACAATGATCGTTACTTATGAAATTACAAAAGAAATTCAAATCACCGAGCTGTTATCGTTTACTTATTAATCCTAAATTACTTAACATTAATCATTAATTATTTTATTTTATTTTATAACCGTCGTTGAACAGCCGACCCAATTTTTGGGTTTACGACTACTAATGTTCAACGCCGCAGCCTTGTTATTTTGAACCCAATTTAGAATTGTAATCTTGAACCTTGTATTTTTGAAATAATACTGGGAGAAATTCACCCTCGTGAGGACTTTTAGATGGAACTAACCCGTATTTGCATAACATGGAGAGGAAAACCACGAAAACCTCTTGCGTTGAGCCAGATGGTGAGGGGGCTCTAACCCATGATTCACCTACCACTGAGAATATTTCATATCAGCACTGTGGTGGGTACGATCAGGGTGCGGAATTCAAATCAAGCAGCCATTTCCGGGATTCGAACCCGGTTCACTTTATTGCAAGACGAGCGCTCTATCCCTTAAGCCACCGACTCTAATCATTAATTAGTGTTAAACTCAGTAACTAGCGATTCGACTCGGCACACAGGCCACGACTTATAAAGCGTGCTTAATTTTAGTTCTCTATAGCTAGCATAACTTTATAACTATAGCATACCTGAAATGCAGTACTTTTAAATATTTATTCACACACACATATATATAGGTGATTCTACACTAATGTTACCATTTTTGTTACCCTAATTTTTATACAAATAGAAATATCCGAGCTAGGTGGTCGTCAGATTTTCACATGAAAATTCATTTTGAACTACAAATTTTATTTCCTTTCGTTTAAATTGTGGCAGCAGCTAAGTTTTCCACAAGTTATATGTTTAAGCATTGTCAATAAATAAAATAAATAATTATTCCAATAAAATATGCATTATTTTATAAGTAATTTGCTTCAATATATAGGTACTAATAAGCAAAGCAATTTTTGTTTGTTACATTGATCTATTTTTAAGCATATTTATTTAAGGAATTTTTATTAAATATAAGTACATATGTATGGTTTCTAAGGTAACACATTAGATCCGCTCATTTTCTTAATATATTTTTAATAAAATACAATCATTTTTTAATCTGTAATTTTTTGTAGGAATAGGCCCGTAGTGGTGCAGTGCAATTTTGAAGATGCGTTTTAAAAAGTACACTCCTATATCCTCTCTCCTGTCCTATTATTGAAACCATATTTTAAGAATTGTGGATATCATCTATATTTTAAGCATAAAAATGCAAATTCGTTGCAAATTTGTTTGTTTATTGTCAAAGAAAGAGCGTTTTCGTGTCAGATTTTGTAACTTAAGGAATCGTATGTATTACAGTGCTCAAAGAGAGAGAGAGAGAGAAAAAAAAACGGTTCATCTTGAATAACTTTTGATGTAATGATCGGATTTTCACGTTCTAGGATTCAATCTTAATGGCTCAAGGGGGTAACTTCAAATATGCGAATAGATAAGTGCAGACGATATTTTAAGTTGCGGAGTCACTACCAAAGACATACTTTCAATGAATAAATATACCTTTTTTTTTTTTTTTTTTTGACGAATTCGGATTTTGAACTCCTAAAATATAGGAGGTATTTTGGGAAATATGATCCGAATAGTTTTCTTAGGAGGGCACTGAAAAGTTTGGATCTCTTAATGTTAACTTTATTTTCTGCGTACACATTCTAACATTAGGTCTAAACATTAGCGCGCTCTTCTGATCAAAACTGGTCCAAATCATTGGAACCATATTTTCCAGATTGCGACTATCCCTTAGGGGGCAGAAATCCGAATTCGTCGGAAAAAAAGGTATGTTTATAGGAAAGGTATATTATGGTTATGGAGTTAAAGTTAACACGGAAATTCATCTTAAACTAAAAACTTTATTTTTTTAAAATTTGAGTTGCAGAATCAGTTAAGTTCAAAACTACCAAATCACAGTTGGTTGTTTTGCTTCATGCACAAAATACTTTTAGTACATGAAGATCGATATGCCTCGGAATCCGTTTAAAAGAGTTAGAAAACAATTAAAAGTAATGTTTTTCTTGTTTTTGATAAAATTGGTGAGATTATCCCTTCCTCCTTAAAGAACAGATATTCATATTAAATGAATAATCCCAAGAAATTGAAGTGGAAAGATGTACTTGATGAAATTAAATCTTTATTTGATTCAATAACATGAATATAGTAATAAAAGTCAACATGTTTTGAGCTTTCAGTTCCTCTACATCTTCCATAGCGCGTGGAATTGCATTTTGCCCTGATTTGCTTCCTCCGGCTTCCGTAGTTTTTTCAGCTTTGCTTTTTTCTTCACATTTTTTTCTTCGTTTTCTGTTTCATTCTCGACTATCGCAGTTTTTCTACATTTGTTTTTCCCTTTTATTTTACACTTTTCGTTGGCAACTTTACGTTTTAATTTTCAAATCACGTTTGCTTTTCTCCTTCACGCCTGGTAAATCTTGAAAAAGGGAGCCTATTTTTGAGCACTCAAAGACTGAAGTTCTAGGCATTCCTATTTCACGCAATGAGACGGCATTGTATAAAAATGCCATCATTCCATACGTTGATGGCAATGTATACTAACATAACCGGTAAAGGAAAGGTTTTTATTTTTCAAACTTTGTTTCACATTCAGAACTAATTTCAAAATGCTAATTAAACTTATAAATGAATGGTGATAATGCTGTAATTAATCAATAAAATTTATTCAATTATATATTTTGATAAGAAGTTATTTGCACTTATTTCAATATAAAACCGCAGTGCTAAACAGTCAAGCTTTTAGTTTTAATTAGGAAACGAACTTAAGGGGACTAATATATGAAAAAATTCGTGTAAACGAATGTCTATGTAAAATAAAGTATTACGAAAGTTTATCATATGCACTCTTAGAAATTTCTCGCAAATAAACGGTTATAAAGCAATTTATTTAATTTTTATTTTACCATAATCACCCAAAACAGTCATGTAACCATAAAAAGATGATATTAAAAATGTTAACCGTGCGAAAAATCGTTTATTGACTGTTTTCATCTTTACGATTGAAAAAATCAGAATTTTATCCACGCCAACCAGGCCCATAACCAAAGAGAATCGAGCGCATGTTCTTTGAAAGCTGGAAGCGGATTACGAATTCATGCTTTTATTTTCCATCATCCGATATCTATCACAACAGCGGATGCCTAATAATCATCCCAGCGTCGACTTCACAATATTTTCGCTTTTCTTGCAACAATTGAGAAGTTTCGTGCTTCTTGTACACCTCAATTGATGACCCGGGTCTATTGGAATACAAAACTGTTATTGGTGCATAGATGGCGCCACTACAGAACTGATTAACACCAAAAGTCCAGTATTTCTTACCTTTCACCACAGATGGCACCACTAGATGAACGAATTAATCCACATTTCACCGTTCACTTGGCAAAACAAAACTTTACCACAACCTAACTCATACGCTCATTGCCTATCGAAAAGCCTAACATAACCTAACTACCATGCAACTCCAATGCCCAGTTAAATTTCATTTTATGCGGTTTTGAAACTTTGGTAGGTGAAAATGGTTACAAAAACGCATGGTTTTGTAATCACGTTTTTTCTAACCATACCAGTTGTAAACGGTTTCAAACCCGTAGAAGTAAAGAACTGTCCTCTTCCTTAAACTTTACAGAGAATCGGATGCGCAAACTTCTGCCGGTTAATTCACCGCAATTTCAGAAGGAAAATTCCAACAGATGATGAAACAATGAAACTTATACTCATAATAGCAGCAAAGGCAAGGGAGAATAGATGAAAAGATAAAATTTAAAGATGAAGAAATTAAATTTAAATAGATTACGAACATTAACACAACGGAATTTTAATTTAAAATATCACAACGTAAGATAATGTGTTATTTGTTAAGTGTAAACAAAATATTGGCTAATATTTAGCAATCATTAAACGAAACAGGTTGTTTATACTTCCTTGTAAGTTTATACAATATACTTCTTCTAGAATGGAAGAGATACTCCTCGAGGATAATCGTATAATTATCCTTAATTATCCCGAATAATAATCTTGCTTTTTTCTTATTTCACGAGTGAAAATTATAGTAATGACGTAGTTTCCTTGCTTGAAATATGAAAGTCATATTTTCCAAATTATTCTGACACAGATTTCGTAATCAAACAGTGGATATTCACTACTCGTTAAAATATTTATACCAGTTTAAGTTTTTTTTCCAGTTATTTTAGTTCTGATCAATTGTAGTAAAATAGCACGATTTAGTTTTTTTGGATTTCCTTTGAATAGTCAATAACCAATAGTTATTAACCACATTGTAAAACTTTATCATCTTAGAATGTTGCCCATTTACTGCAGAAATAGTATTAAAATAAAAATATTAGTTTGGTTATTGTAAAGAAAAAAAATATTTTTCCTAAGACAACAGTAATGGACAAGTTTGTTTTTGGTAAAAGAAAAAGGAAACTTTCAACATTTAGCAATTGAAAAACCAAAACTAGCATTTTACCTTGTTTTTTAAATTAAAAAAATAATTTGGACAAACAATTTGTGTTTCAAATTTTCTGTGAATATCATTTCTTAACTCAATTTAAAAAACTTTTTATGTACACGAATTTTTTTTAGAGAACTGAATGTGATTTTTAAGCGTAGCATTAAAATTTGTTATAATTTTAACTTTGCTTGGAATATAAGTTTTTGCTAGGCATAGAAGTTTTCGCTTGGTATATAAGTTTTTGCTAGATATAGAAGTTTTTGCTAGGTATAGAAGTTTTTGCGTGGAGGTTAGTTCGGATAAACATTTTAATCAATACATATCAAATTACTAAAAATTTTGGAACATTTGTTGCTTTATTGTTCAAATTTGTTAATATAGAGTATAGTGAACTAACGTTAATATAAAACATCGCTTAACTTACGTGTTAACTTCGCTTTACTAACTTACGTGCTAACTTCGCTTTACTAACTTACGTGTTAACTTCAATTATCATGCAAATTATTTTTCCTGAGCTTGATTACATGATGCTCTGCTTCTATTTGAAGAGAAACACATTTCCTTCAACAAATTATCAAGGTTGAGAGCACTGTATCACGGTTCAAGGTTAATCACATTGAACCAAATTTTTGAAGAGGGGTCTAGCTAATAATTTAACGCATATGTTTGTAATGGAAGCTTTAATATTTAAATTAGATATAACTGCCACCGCAAAACTTTATTTTGTATCTCGATGTTTTATTTTATTTTATAACCAGCGTCAAGCAATGAACCCATTTTTGGGTTTACGATTATCATCATTCAACCCCACTGCCGTATAAGTTAGAGCCCTACTCCGAAGACAAGGAAACTCCTGGATCAAGCATTGGTAGAAACTAGCCCTCTTGGAGACCTCTTAAGATGATGTTATAATTGTTTTTATTCCGTTTATGTACGTTATCTCTGGCGATGGTATTCCGCTCATTTCTAGCAAGCTGCATTAGAAATAAAAAATAAAGGATTCATTTGCACGACAAGATGGTTCAATTTGACATCATATTTAGGTTGCAGCAATTATTTCACTAAACGCTATCCAAAATTTCTTATTGTGAACAATTAAAGATTAATAAAACTTTTTTTTCCCTTTGTAATTGTTAAGTATCTGTTAAAGGTCGAGCACTCGAATTTATTAATACTTTTTTTGTAATGAAATATTTTTATTATGTCAAAAGCATTCTGCATGGTATGTACAGTGTATAAACTGCCATCCAATAGAAAAATCAACGTCAGCGATTAAAAGAAAAATTTAAAATAAAATTTTTGTATGTTTGGTAGTTTGTAATACCTGAATTATTAAATTTTGCATTACCAGATTTTGAAATTCAATTTTCGCGTTCATAGCATTGTCAACAGAAGGAAAATAGTTCTCAAACCACACTTCTCGAAATATATCATAAATGTAGCACTTACGTTGTTTTTGAAGTGAAACTTCTAATGCGACTTCTAATAAGGTTGCGTTAAACGTTTAACGCTACCATGGCAACGAGCTCCTGTGATCCTTGCGGGAGATTTTAATGTGAATTTCTCGTTACCTGAAGCTGAAACATTATTAACCTTCCTTGAAGACAAATTTGGATTGGAAATGATAGATGGTAGGAATGATCCAACAGGGGGAACTACCATTGATGCAGTTTTTGCAAGAAATATTGAAAAAATAGAACTCAAACATTTCGTATCTTACTTCAGTTATTATAATCCCATTATCCCATTGTAAATGTTATAGATTTGGATAATTCTCCACTCGAAAATGATAACTAAAAGATGCGATCAATTGTGAATTGTAAGCAATGTTAATAAAGTTTGTCTTAAAGAAACAATACGATTTCACTAAAAATCAATTTCTATCCCTTCCTATTTTCATTTCCACATTACGAAGTTTCACTTCACGAAGGGACACCACGCACTATTTTTTTTCTTAAATTAAAATTAATATAAATTAAAATTATATTTCGAAATTATATCACGAATTTAATGAAATGTGAAATTTTATTTTCTATAAAAAAGTTTTAATATTTGCGATAAATTTTGATTTCATGGCCATTGAAGTTTTCGAACGAGAATTTGATATTTTCTGAAATGGACGAAATTTTTATTAATTTAAACTTTTTATGTAACTTTTAATATTTCATTTACTAAATTTGACCTCATACTTTTAGATCCAAAATAGCGTACAAGGCAGCAGACTGAAAAAATGGATCATGGATATGGCTTTATCAAGTAAACAATCAGAATTAGAAAGGTCAGTATGTTTACATAATAATAATAATGAAGTAAAGCATTTCCACATTAGTCCGTTGTGGGCTTCCAGGGAGGGGGGGGGGTTATTGAGGTAAAGGCTCCACTATTTCGTGACCAACGGCATGACTGTGGCAATAAGATTAGCACTGCGTAACGACCTCATTTATTTCCGAGACAAGCTGATACCCATCGATATGAAGCTAGGTGGGCTTCATGCAGCCGCCACTGGGGATCGAACCCCAGTTCTCCACATTGATAGTACAATGCTTTACCTACTGAGTCATTGCGGCTCAGTAATAATAATAATAATAATAGTAATAATAATAATAATAATAATTATAATAATAATAATAATAATAATAATAATAATAATAATAATAATAATAATAATAATAATAATAATAATAAAGTTTCATATGATAGTGTTCCGAAATTGAAAAAAATCTTATTAATTCACCCTGCATAGTAATATGAATTATTAATATTTTCATAATATGAGCTTAATTAATTTTTCTGGAACTACAGATACTTTTTCAATTTTCTGAATTCGATATGAAACATTTGAAAATAGCATAAAACATATCAAACTTTTTAGCATTTGATTTCATATACCAAGTCTTAAGAAATTACAGAAGCAACTGAAAGGGAAATCCTTATTTTTAATCTTAAAATGGCTCTCTTTGGAAATGAAAAGATTATTCCTCGCTTTTAATTACGGATGATTCAAACAATCATTTTAAGATAATTCGAAAATAAAATAATTACTCTCTTTTTGCGTTTTTATTTTCAGTCACTTTCTTGTCCGTGGAGAAGTCTAGTGGAGAGGTTTATTATAGAGGATAAACTTGATCATCTTTTATCAGTTGTGATTAAAATCGAATTTAAACTGATCAGAAATCTAATATAATATTTTTCAAGTTACATAGGAAAGTTTTATCTAACTACTTTATTTCCCTTGATTCAATTAAACTTCATTCGTTTCAAAAATATTTATATTGGATATAACAGTCAGCATGCTTCAAGCGCTTAAAAATAGTCACCCATTTTCATGACTTTCAAACTTAAAGAGAAAACAAAAGTGGTTTGAAATGTAAAGCGCAGTTTTTTCAACGTAAAATGGAAATTAACGGTAAACCCAACTAGAAAATATCAGTAGCAGAGAATAAAAGTTTTTCTAGTTTTGTTTTTGTACTCACGTTTGTTTTTCCATTTTTTTGTTGTTGACAACTTTGCGTTTTATATTTCAAATCACTTTTGTTTGGCAAATCTTGAAATCGGGATCCTAATTCTGAGCTCTTGCTAAAACTTCTTATTTTCTTGATTTTCCTCGTTTTTTTCTATTTTCTTTTTATCCTCTTTAACTTTATTGTGCTATATATATGACCTGGGGCTTAACGTTCGGAGGTCTGAAATGAGTCGTTTATATACAATGGTGGACAAAACTAAGAGATGGAAAGCATTTTCGCACATTCATTCGCACATGCAAGATACCCGCACACCGCTCCATGTGTTTGACAATGGTTCCGTGAATGCCCAGAGGTACAGGCAGGAGGTCCTAGAGCGCTATGTGCGTCTTTTCAGGGGCGCTGTTGGCCCTGAGTTCATTTTTATGGACGACAATGCGCGACAAAAGCGAGGATATTCAACGAATGGATTGACTAGCTAAATCCCCTGACCTGAATCCTATTGAGCATGCTCGGGATGCTCTTGGGAGAGCTATTGCGATGCGCCAACCTCCCCCCCCAGAACCATTCTAGAGTAAAAAATAGCTCTGGTGGAAGAATGGGAGGGTCTTCCACAAGTCCTCCTTAACTCCCTTATTAACAGCATGCATGCTCGTTGTGCATGCTGTCTGTCTGTCAGGGGTGACCATACACCATACTAGANTAAAATAACTTGGGAATTTCTCCACTTTTATTGTCATCTTTTATCCTTAAGTTCAGACTACATTGGATTTATTGGCAATAGGTCTTGCCAGTAAATGGTACTTTCAATTTTTGTTTTGCATACTTTATTATCATGGAATAAGCTATATCCGTACCAAATTTCATTTATTTATATTCAGTATTTGAGATATTTGGGAAAATGTCTTCTATCTCTTAATTTTGTCCACCAGTATATGTCTACAGTATCCGTCTTTTTGACATGTTGTGACAAACAAAAATGTATGAGATATTTACATAAATTTATGTTTTCAGACATATTGTGACAAATAAAAGTGTATGGGATCGATTTGTTTTAAAACCTGTTCAAGAAAATCTAGGAGGGCGAGTGAGAGTTATGATCACAGGTTCAGCACCAATTGGTCCAAATGTCCTCACTTTCCTCCGATGTGCTTTGGGCTGCATGGTAAGCTATACTTATTGTAAGCTATATTAATTTTTAAAGTGTTTGCATATCACTTTAAAAATCCCAATCTAATCAATTTAATTGTCCATCTTTATATGGATTTAATTGTGAAAGAAATAACTATTGATATCACCACTTAATGATTTTATTATTTAACGCCACTTAATATTGCATTATTTTATTTTATATTACATTATTTTATGTTACATTATTTTATGTTACATTATTTTATTTTATATCTGTTGTTAAATTACCTACCTATTTTTGGATTCACAAATATCAATGTTTAACTCCATAATCTTGCCATCGCTGAGTTTCGCACCCGGGCCACCTCATTATAAGATGCCCTGAGCTACCACAGCTCTATTAAGGATTGTGTTAATGACCACTCATTATTTATTAAATAAATAAACCTAAAAAACTGAAACGGTAAAATATTACCTGATAAAAAACTTCATTCGCTTCAAAAATATACAAATAGAAAACATGCTTCAAGAGCTTCAGAAATAGACACCCATTTTCATGACTTGCCAGACGTGAATGAGAAGAATAGAATCACTTTTGTTTCTTCTGATTCGCGTATGGCAAGTCTTAAAAATGGCGCCTATTTTTGAATGCTTGAAACATGTTGACTGTTATTTCCGATTTGTATGTTTTTGAAGCGAATGACGTTTTTATGCAGGTAATACAAGACATTCAAGAAATCTTATAAAAATAGAAGTAAAAAAAGTTTACACATTAAAAGTCAGGTTAGTATTTAATTAAAAAAAATAGCTATTGAGTCAAAACAACAAGAAACCTGTTTATTTGCTGAGCGAGGCAAAGGAGAGTTAAAATCGATTATTTGATTCCTCCCGATTTCAACTTTTCCTTCAGAAATCAAACAGGTTTCAGTGTTTTCAATTCTATCTTACTGGAGTCGTGGTGGCTCAGGGGATAGAGCGGTCGCCTTCTAATGAGGTGAACCGGGTTCGAATCCCAGCTATGGCTCGTCGATACGAATTCCGCATCCGGCCTGTACCGATCACAGTGCTGACGAAAAATATCGTCAGTAGATCATGGGTTAGAGTCCCCTTGCCACCAGGCTAACCGTGGGAGGTTTTCGTGGTTTTCTTCTCCATGTAACACAAATGAGGGTCAGTTCCATCAAAAAGTCCGCCACGAAGGAAATTTTCTACCAATACTTGATCCAGGGGATCCCTTGTCTTCTGTATTGGGTTCAAAATTACAAGGATACGGAATTGAACATTAGTAGTGGTAAACCCTAAATTGGATCGGTTGTTCAACGACAGTTATAAAATAAAATGAATTTTATTTTATTCTATAGCGATTCGTTAGATTTCAATAATTTTTTGAAATTTTTTTTCTTGCAGATTTTAGAAGGCTATGGTCAAACAGAGTGTGTGGCACCTGCCACAATGACATTAATTGGCGATAATAGTGTTGGTATGTATTACTGTTTTTTTTTTAAAATTTATTTTTAAATTCGAAAATAAGAGTCCAAAATATAATTTATGGATAATTGAAATGCTTAAGAAAATAATGAGATGTCTGAATCGTTCTTGAATTTCGGTAGAAAGCAATGGATTAACTGAGTAATATTATGATAGTAATAAATTATCTTTTATTCGGTAGAAATAAGATAATACATATAAACAATAAAATTATTTTGAGACGCTGCTGTTGTCAGGTAATTCCTTATCCGCGACAAGTATATTGATTTTTTAGGCGTGCAGTTTCTAATTTTTATGGTAAAGCTAGGACGGTAAAATTATCTGTTGTTTTCAGGCGTTGTTATATTAATATTATTATTAAAAAGGTGTAGATTTAAGATAAAGCAGTAAAATTTGTTTATAGTTTGGTAAAATTTTAAACATCTTTTTTTTTAAATTATTAATTTGTAGGACGAAACTAATTTAAATTATAATGGATAATAATTATTGATTTGTTTCTTTTAATGAAACTTGAATTCTAATGAATTAGCACTTTTATATCCTATTAACTGGATTATTCCACGTCCACTTTTCTCAGTTATTAATATCAATATCCCACCATCATTTTGTGATTTAAAATTTTATTACAATGTGATACAAAGATACTCAGACTCATCAAACTATACTTAATAAAGCTATAGATCAATAAACTCAAATGTTTGGAGTTAGAAAGTCTAAAAAGATACTATTTTGTTCTTACACAATTCATGATCATAGAAAATTAAACTTAAATTTTTGGTTACCTTACTTTGTGACAAATTTTTGTCGTTCTATAAAAATGGTAAATTCTTTGAAGAAATATTTGTAAAGTTACTATAACTTAAATAAATGCATCTAAACAAAACTTTAACTTATTTTCAAAATTTCATGTCTTCTTAATGTTTACATCAATTTTCATATTTTAAAAAGTGTTCAAGTCTACAAATTGTAATATGTTAAGAAACAAATTTTTAAAAGGACTACTTTAAAAGGCTATTGAACTATTTAAACCTTTTTCAATATGTTAAAAGTTTTATAACATCTTTGAAGCAAAAGTTTCGTTATAGATCTTGATTTAAGTCAGAATAACTCCAAAACTATTTAAAGAAAAATCTGAAATTTTCCCAAAACATCGTATTTGCGAACTTGGTACAATAATCTCTCGGCCCGCGATATTCTTCTTTATAATGATCCTCACCTCTTGCAAGCTGGGGTCGACTATAGTAAACTTACGTCCAGAGCCTTAACTTTGGTTTAGTGCTACCTTTGTAAATGGGCCGTTTTTAAAATCAAGAATCTCAATTAAAAAAGTCGCATATTTTAAAAAAATTCCAAAATGTCACAAAACTTCTCTAAGTTTTAAAATTTAACTCTTTCTACAATAAAGAAATTATGAATCTGCATGGAACAGCAGTAATTTTTGAAAATATGTTAGAACTTCAAATTCTAATTACATTCATATAAATCTATTATAAGCATCGAAACAGAAAGATTTTTTTTCATTAAAAAATTAATAATAAATCAATCTAATAATATGTTACAAAGAGTAAAAGTATAAATATCACATATTGATCAGTCGGAGGAGAAAGTTTAAAAAATATTTTTATTAATAAGTATTACATTATTAATAACCATATACAGTATTTAAATTATGCATTTGATAATTTTTTTCGTTCATATGGAAAAGGTTTATCGGAAATTCTTGTTTTCAAAGTTCTAGTTCTAATTACCACACATTTAGAAAGAATTACAAAATTGAAAAGTAAATTTTACCGAATGAATGATTATTATGCCATGCTCTAAGGTATCATGATAAAAATTACAATAAAATTGCATTACAATTAAAATTACAAAATTTTACTACATTTGCCAAATTTTATTTTATTTTATAAAATCATATTTCATTGTTATTCTGGTAGTGTGGAACACGCTTTTCCTCTGAGTGTAATAATAAGCGTTTAGTGCCTCTTCAGGTACTGTGCCCAGGATCCTAGGTCTGTGCTATAATAAGGTCCCTGCTTATAAGAATTAGTGCTTAAAATTCGGAAACACTTCGCATAAAATAATTGACAAATACTTGGTATTTGACTTCTCATAAACACTATTTTCATGTTGGTATTTTAAATAATGCTTGAAAAATAATTAATACACATTATATAATTTACAAAAGAATCTTTTAGGCACAGCTTACTTCTTTATTTCACGAATGAATTTTATTTTAAAATTGATTGATATATTTACATTATTATCTTCGTAAAATCGTGATATACCAGCTTAAAATCTAATGATGGGAAGAATACAAGAAATTATTCAGAATATTTCTCTTTGAATTATTTAATGCACGGAATACATTTGTTTAGTTTCATGTTTTATTTCCCGTTCAAATTTCCCTATTGCGCTTAATTTACTTAAATTAAGAATCTATAAATTTTTTAGAACGAATCACAGGTGAAACACGAATACGATTTCCATTTCTTTCATGCCTGAACAACAATGAACAATAACGACTTCCTTATAATTTTTGTTAAATGAGATATCGTTAAAAAAAGACATATTAATATGGTATTTAAGAAATATAAATAAAAAACAGTAAAAGAAATAATAGGCATTAATTTTAAAATGGAATGTAATTTATCATCATCTGATAATCATTTATTGGAATTCAGGAGCTGTAGTAAAATTACTCAAAAATATGTGCAAGCATGTTGAAAGTTCGGAACCACTGGGCAAAGTTAAAAAATGTAACGAGAGAGATTTCTTACTTTCACGTAACATTAGGTACACTTAGGTAGGTAAAACCTGCGCAGTTTACTTACCACATAACTACTTCGATTCTCTGATTTTGCGTAGATCTTACTTACGGGATACAACGCGAGAGTGTGAAATCTTACGTAACATGCACTCACGTACGTAAGAACTGCGCAGCGTAGTTACCACAGAACTACTTCGATTCTCTGATTTCGCGTAGATCTTACATGCGAGATACAACGAGAGAGTGTGAAATCTTGCGTAATATACACTCTACATAAGAACTGCGCAGCGTAGTTACCGCAGAACTACTTCGATTCTCTGATTTCGCGTAGATCTTACATGCGAGATACAATAAAGCTTAATAAATATGCTTAATAAATCAATAAAGCTTAATAAATNCAAAGCAGAGTTTGCTAAAAATCATGACGTACACAAATAAACTGGAACACATTTATTATTACTTTCAATGGTTAACTTAAATCTAAAATTCTAATTGAATATACAAATATAAATATCGGATCATCATACAATCGGCCAAAGACTCAAAAGATGAGTTGGCGGCTCATCCCTCTCCACCGGCATGAAAGAAGAAATTGTTCGTTCTTTTATAGATAACGATTTCGTACGTCACATTGATTGAATGCTTGTTTCTTGAATTCCCTTCACTTCCTTCCTGGAAACGAATCTGAAAAAATAAACTCAAACACTAAAGTTTATAAATGGAAACTACTTATTTCCACAGATACAACGCGAGAGTGTGAAATCTTGCGTAATATACACTCTACATAAGAACTGCGCAGCGTAGTTACAACAGAACTACTTCGATTCTCTGATTTCGCGTAGATCTTACATGCGAGATACAACGCGAGAGTGTGAAATCTTGCGTAATATACACTCTACATAAGAACTGTGCAGCGTAGTTACCACAGAACTACTTCGATTCTCTGATTTCGCGCAGATTCTACTGGGACATTACGCAAGAGTGTGAAATCTTATGTAACATAAACTCACGTACGTAAGAACTGCGCAGCGTATTCACCAGAGAAATACTTCGATTCTCCAAGTTCGCGTAAATTTTACTTGCGGGATACTATAATAATAAAAATAAAGATGATGATGATAAAGGAATTTATATAATTAATGAGCTTAGTAAAAGAAGGTTCAACTGGTTTAGTAAATCATTTAAAAAAATTTATATTTTATAATATCTTGCAGATCGTAGTGCATTTTGGGGTGGAAGAATGCTCAAAATGCATCACAAACAGTAAACGATTAATTATTGATAGCCTCTCCTTTAGCAGCAAATTAAAATGCAAAGACTACGCACATTATGTTGGGAATTTATAGATTTCGCTAACTGGAAGCTAAAGACTAAGGATAATCTTTATATTTTACTGTCCATTGTCAGTATACATAATTTAAAGTTGTATTACTCAAATTTATTAGCATCCCCTAGAACCGTGAGCGAATGTCTGAAGTTAAGAATGTGTGAATATATGACATATAGGAGTGGTTATTCTAATATTTTTATTTATTTATTTCAGGACATGTGGGACCACCGTTACCATGTAACCACATAAAACTCGTTGATGTTTCTGAAATGGAATACTATGCTATCAATGGACAAGGTGAAGTAAGTATAATATTCTGACTTATTACGTAGTTTTTGTTTGGACTGATCTAACGAGAGAGCTGTCCATCTATTAAAAATTTAAAGGCGATAAGTGTAAAAAAGAAAAGTGCGCAAAAGAAAAATTAGACCACCCCCTGAAAGATCGAATCATCTCATGAAAACGTACTTTCTCTGAATAAACATGCCTTTTTTTTTCGACGGATTCAGGTTTCTGAACCCTAAAATATAGGGGGTAGTCACCATCTAGAAAATACGGTCATATATGTTTGGTCAGGAAGGCTGTCCAAAGTTTGGACCCTTTAATGTTAGTTTTACTTTTTGCGAATTTCATCGTATCTGGAGAATTTTTTTTTTCTTAACAAATTTAGAAATTTTTGAAAACGATTGTAAAATTTATTTATTTAAATGTAATTCCATAAAAAATAGCTTTTAGTACATATTTATCATTATTTTATTTAATAATAGTCGGAAAAATTTTGAATTGTAAGGTACAAAATTTTTTACATCATTTTAAAGAATGCAATTTTATATGAAAAAATATAATTTTGAGCATAATCGGTCGAATAGTTCCTGAGGAATTGAATTTTAAAAAAGTCAAATTTTGAAATTCGATTTCTCAGGAACTATTCGACCGATTATGCTCATTCATTATTCAGGGTGGTCCGTGTTTTGTTTCACGCACTGCGCGGTAACATTATATGGAAATTTAAAGGGAAATCTTCTACTGGAATAATAAATAAACAAAAAGAAATGTTTTAAGTTAAACATGAATTGAACTGTAAATATGACCTACTTAGAAAACTTTTATATGAAAAGTTAATTTGAGGTACTTAGTAACTTTTCATTCGAAAAGTCATTCCGTGCTACCTTGTAATTTAGCTTTTAAATTGTGATTTTTTTCTTTGGAAAGTTAATTTATGTCAATTTGTAAATTTGTCTTAGAAAGCTCAGTTTGCGCTATTTTGTACATTTCCCCCCTTAAAAATTGAATCTGTGCTATTTTGCAACATTTTCTTTAAAAAGTTACGATGTAAATTTTTTCTTTTACAAGTCTACTTGTTCTTTTTTGGAAATTTATTTCATTAAAAGAGGCAACTTGTGTGTTTCTATTATTAATACTTAAAAAGACATTTCTCAATAAAGAGAAATAGTATCAATAAAAGCATTTCTCAATTGAGATTATTCAATAAAAAGAAATATGGCACTATTTTTTTAAGAAAAAAATGCAAAAAGTTTGGCCTGCCACTTTTTTTAATAGTTTCAATGTTATACTTAATATAAAGGCTGTTAAGTAAAAATTTCGACTAAACACAAATAATGATCTTTTTCTTTAAGAATCATTAGTATTCATTTATTTAAAAATGAACTTTCCTCGAATTAAAAAAGAAAATTACGAATATACACTCGATGCCAAATCAAATCCTCATAGTCATTTAATTTTTTACCTCAGTTTCCTTAATTTTTCCCCTCAACCTTTTAACAAGACTGATACGAAAAATACAAATACAGGGTTATTCATAATTCGAAGCGTTAAAGTGAAAAAACGAAGACGAATATGGCAAAAAGAACATATGAAATTATTCCGAAAGTATTCAAGTTTTAATTTAAGCAGTTGCCGGTAGATGGCAGTAACATGTACCACTGAAGCCACTTGTAGTAAGGAAAAAGGGCGTTTACAGGCTGAGAGAATTATGAATAACCCTGTATATATGTGATATTAACCATGCTTATTACTTTTTCAAATGTTTAGGTGTGCATCAGAGGACTGAATGTATTTCAGGGATATTTGAAAGATACCGTAAAAACAGCTGATACAATCGACAAAGATGGATGGTTACACACAGGGGACATCGGGATGTGGATGGAAGTAAGTACAGAACAAACTAGTATATGCCAAGACTGATTAAATTACTCCAGGACATACTATGTGAATTATACGTGTCCACTTAATATGTCTCGAAGTACGAAATGTCCATCAGCAAACAAACTTGAAATTAAAAATTCTAGAAAGAAAGAGGATGGAGGAATGAAACAAATGGCTATGTTTAATGTACAAACTGTTGTTGTTGCTAATTCCCATCTGGTCTGACGGGGTCAGACCAGATCAATAAATCCGTTAACATTAAGAAAATCCGAAACCAGAATGGGAGAGGAATGAATGTCGTTCCAGTCCAGCCCTAAACAGTTCAAGATGTGCTCAGGAGATGCCTGGTTTTGTTGGCATTTAGGGCAAAGAGGAAAGATCTTTTGATTAGCAGAAAATGTGAGGTTTTTCAGGTGTCCACTCGCCTGTCGGGATAAGCAAGTGTTGTACAAACTGTAAAAATTTAAAGTGGAAATTCAGAAATTTAATTGCAAAAGTTACCAACAGATGGCGCTATAAGCGGTGCAGATTTCTTGAGACGTATACAAATGCTATAGAACTTTAATCTAACCTGTGTTGTTCCCTAGTACCCCCTTTCTAGCATGCAATTTTCAAATCCGGCGGCCCTTAACGTTCCGCTCTCCTGCGTAGCATTTAAAAATAAATAAATAATAAAACATGATTTTTTAGTTCGTTCATGGTTGATTCGTTCAGGTATTTTCGACCTCCGATGTCCGGACCAACCTTTGGATCTAGATCTTCCACATTGCGGTCCCCCCCCCCCCCATATTTTTTTGTTCATGAATCCGAATCCGTCGAGCAAAGGTATGCTTTTTCATGATAAGTTTTTTTTAATTCTTTTTTCATTTTTAAATTTCCAAAGGCAGAAATTGACAAACTCTTAACAAGAAGAATGAACATAGATAAGAGAAAAAAGTCAAGGACTCATTAGCAGATGCCTAGCACTCCAATATCTGTTCACTTCGGAGTCTCCATGTACAGCCGAACATCCCATCAAGGGCTTTCTATCCATTACTTTGAATTTCCTACAGAGTGGGCAATTCGGACTCGTAAAAATAACAATGCGGTGGAGGTGGTGCACAAGACAGTCATGACCCACCGCAAGTCTAAATTCTGCCACAGTCTTTTTTGAACACTAAGCTTACACGGAGTACTACACGAGTGATCACGATTATTTTCATGATTAGCACGTTTTGTGTTGATGTTGATATATTTTTTCTGACTTCTTTTTTGTAGGGTTTTCTATTAGGTTTTGTCCTGATTCCGTTTGCATTAATTAATTAACATATTTTAAGATAGGCCCTCAAACTATTAAGTGGTGAAAATCCGATTTTTAAAATAAAAGTAATTCAGAATGCTCCTTTACTCCTTTTTTTTTTACTCACAACACTCCTGTTGAGAACGAGCATTTTAAAAGTTTCTGTAACTTCTGAAGTTATCGTTTGGATCGCTCTTTATTTCTAATGTTGGGGTTTTTTCTTAATGATTTCCGACTTCCTTGTTCCTTTAGCAAATAATTGGGTTTTGGAGATGGCAACAAGTTGGTTACTTCGAAAAAAATATTAAATGGGTATGTAATTGATATAATATTTTTCGGGAGATTTTGGATCAATGCTAGAAATTAATAGCAGCACTTTGTAGCTCATGATTCACAGATTGTTTAAAGAAGGAAAAAAAAAATTTTTCAATTCAAAAAGGAGAAGGAGACCTTAAATCAATGATTCAATATTTTAACTTTCTTATTCAATAGTTTTTAAATATCTATAGTTTCTTTAAGAAAACTCAGTTATTGAAAAGATATATCAGCGTATAAAACAAAACAAATTTTTTTTTCTTTGATTAGAGCTCTTCATTTGGAATTCGAATTTGTCGCAGTGTTAATAAAGTAAGAAGTTGAATAACAATTTCGTACTTCCTAATCTTCATTACTCGATGTAACATTGGATGTAACATTGTAAAAAGTAACCGTAAAAAATAAGTCATTTTTTTACAAAAAGAAAAGAAAAAAGAAAAGAACAAAAACTGCTTGAATGTAAACACAGATTTTTTTGTTTTTAATCATTACTCAAGCGCTACAGAAAATTTTTGTTTTCTTTTTTTCTTTTTTTTCTTTTACAGACTTTCTTCGTATATTAAAGCTTTAAAGCTGTTTTTTACCTAATAGTTTTTTTCCTGTTTTTCACTCCAATCATAAACGAATTAAAACGGGAAAATCAAATTCTAGTTTTTGTCATGTTTTTTTTTTACCGCAAGATGACTTTATATTTTTTTTTCAAATCAATTTTCTATATAATTGTTCGAATCTTTAAGAAATTACTTTATAATTTTGAACACCGTATAAATAAAGTTGAGATTCAACTTCATTGTTGAATCGATATTCTACCTGATAATTATTTGTCTTTAGACACAATTTTTCAGTAAGTAAAATTGCCAGACATTTTTTTAAAGGGTGGGATAATAGGGTCTTAAACATTTTAACACTTTGTGATTTCAAGAAGTAAGACTTTTAAGATAAAGAAAGTTGAAGATTTTTTTTCTTCATAACCAAACGCAGGAGCTGCCGTGGCTCAAAGGACGTTTCCCTTTGATGACACCCGGGTTCGAATTCCGGCGTTGACTGTTCGAATAAATTTTGCTCTCGTCTCGCACCAACTACAAGGCTGATATGGCTATTTAATACAGATTATTTGTTAAAATAACAAAGTTTTTTTTTGTTAACCCCTTAACAATCGGTTAATTTTCAAGAAAACGGTCATAAAAGTGACTATCTTTTTGGCTTTCGTATTTGTATTACGTATTTGATTAGTACTGACATCTAGTTTAAAATAAACTAACGATCTACAATTACCTTAAAAATATCCTGGTACTGCCATCTGGTGTGTGTAAAGAGAAATAAAATGTTTTCCGGACAGAAGAAATGAATTAGTTTTATTCTTATTGGCGCGTTACTATTGAACACTCCAGCCCGTCAATATCACGGGAGCGAGAAATAGAGGGCGAAACCTCCCCCCGTCATTTTCACGGGAGCGAGAAGGAAGAGGTTAAAAGCAGAGTTTATCTGTTATTTTAATAAAAATTTGTTAGTTTATCGTAATTATATTTGCACTAAAATATAAAACACAATTGGAATCCGAAGACATTTTAATGATGAATCCACAATATCTTAGATTAAAAAACTGCAAACAAGGGCAAATTTGTAAAATTTTTTTGTTTGGAAGTGAGCCGTGTTCGGAAGATTTTACCTTTAACGCAGAAAAAGACCCGGGTGTTTCATACTGTATTTCATAACCGTAAATTATTAAAACGCTATATATAATATTTTTTCATTTATTTTGTCCTAAATTAATACAAAATAATGAAAAAATGTGAAAAATATGTTTATTACAAATTCTCTGTCAAAGAGTTAAAATAATCCCCCCCCCCTCCTAATTTGTCAATTCCTTGACAATGTCATACGATGTATCGTTCAATAAAATTAGTGTAAGGATAAGGTAAGTAATTAGTTTTTGCTTTAATATTAACTATTTTTGCCTTAATTGCACAAGAAGATGTAAATAACCTTGAATAACGATAGCGGGAAGCAATTTACAGTGACAATAATAACCATATTATTATTAGTGTTAATAGGAAAACTAATGGCCTAATAATGAATCTAAAGAAATAATTCAAATTTGCTTCCTGTTAAAATAGGATACATTTTGCAGATATTTAATTAAGAATAAGAATAAAATGCGAAGTAAATTATTGCAGGAGCATTTATTTTTATGAAATTATCCCACCGTTAAGCGTATACTTTTAATAGGGTAGTAGGAAAAAAAATCGAAATATCCTCAATATTTTAGATGTACAGTGCAAAAAAAGAAAAAAAACGGACTACCCTTGAATAATATTGATTTTTAATGATCTGATTTTCACGTTCTAGGACTCAATCTTAATGGCTTGAAGGGGTGACCTCAAATATGCTTATTAATTTGTACAGACGATAATTTAAGTTACAAAATAAGACACAAAAACTTACTTTCTCTGAATAAACATACCTTTTTTTCCACGGATTTGGATTTCTGACCCCCAAAATATAGGGTTGCCGCAATCTGGGAAACATGGTTCCGATAGTTGGTCATCAGAGCGTTCCAAAGCTTAGACCCCTTAATGTTAATTTTACTTTTTGTGTATTTCACTATAGCTCGAGAATTCTTTTAACGAATTAAAAAACTTTTTCACTCAATTTTAAAATTTGTATATCCTAAGATAATTTTGTGCAAAAAATAACTTTAAGTAACTATTTATTATTTTAATTAAGAACGGTCGAAACATTTTCGAATTGTAAGGTATAAAATTTTTTGAATCATTTTACAGAATGTAATTTTACATGAGAAAACACGAAAATTGAGCGAAATCGGTCTAACAGTTCCTGAGAAATCAAATTTTAAATTCTTTTAAGCTCTTTTAAGATTCTTTTTTTTTCATGGTTCATTTCTAAGCAGAAGAAACATTTTAAGAAAAAAGCAACATTTAAGTAATTTTTAGAATATTATAAAATATTTATAATGATTCCATATTTGTTTAAAAAAAAAAAATAGACAGCACAGAGTATGTATTTTTGACGAAAAAAGCGGCGATCAGGTGAGGATTGACAAACAAATTTTCGATAACAATTAGTCCTAACATATTCTTTTCTTGTTTTAGAATGGAGCATTGAAAATCATAGACAGAAAGAAACACATATTCAAATTGGCTCAAGGAGAATATATTGCCCCTGAAAAAATAGAAAATGTATATTTAACAAGTCAATATGTTGCTCAACTATACGTTCATGGTGAAAGTTTAAAAGTAAGTCCAAAATAATATTTTCCTAAACAAAAATTCAGAACTGGTATTCACTATATTTCAATTTTTTTTTGTAGCAATTGGATGAAACCATTAAATGTAACCTCTCACACTTAAGAGTTGGTTCTAATTAACGCAACTGAGATTGATTCTCCTAAAAAATTTTTTGTTTGAATGAGGATTTTTGTTTGCTTAAACTGACATGATAACGCTGCTTTTATTTTAACTGTGAAAATTGGATTCGAAACGGAGAGATTTTACAGCTTAACGCATCATTCCATACACTTCTTTACGTTAGTTATAACGCAACTGCGCATGCGCACCTAAACTTAGTAGTACGCTTTTGTAGTATTAGTTCTTTTGTGGTAGTACGCTTTAATAGCAGCAGTTTTATAGTAGTAGTAGTACTTTAGTAGTAGTAGTAGAANAGCAAAACAAGACCTATAAAGGATTTTGCAGACAATCATTTTCCGCTTATCATGCGAAAAAATAGTAAAGTTTCTTAAAACGTGCTATTTATCAAACATTTAATTCTAATTAGTGCTCTGCTGTAAGTTTAAATTAAAACGAGGCAAAATAAATTAAATTTCTGATAACGGATATTGAATTATTTTATATGACAAAGATAATAAAAAATGTATGTTTCTTTATTCAAGAAACTATAATTTTTCAAGACGATGTTATAACGGAGATAATGGTTTTGTTAAAAGCGAAAAGAACACAAGCCTTGTAGGCATCGTGTTAAAATTCCACAAATAAATAAATAAATAAAAAAAGTGCTTTACTAAGAAGTAGTGGCGCTTTAGTGTGGTAGTATGGTAACACTTTATTAAATAGTTGCAGACAACTAAATTGAAGATTGCTATCATGATAAGGACCACTATCAATGTGCGCAATAGTAATATTAAAAAAGCAATAAAACAGTTAATGAGCATGCGCAGTTATTTTATAATTACGTACGATAGCGTAAGGATTGATCTGTAAAACTACAATATTTCACTAATGTCTGAGTTTTACATGAAACTGCCTATTTTGAAATGCTCCAAGTAAACATTTTGTTAAAAGCAACCTATCGGTTGAGACGATTGAGAGGGAAATCTAACATAAAATTTAGAGAATATGAGAACCTCTAAACATGATTCAGATAACTCCAAATAAACCCTTTCCATCTTCAAATGAAATCCTTTCCATTTCAGAAATCATCAAATTTATATAGAAATAACTTTTTTCAGTTTTGTTTCATTAGATAATGAAAAAAAAATTTTGATTTCGTCATTATTATAAAATTATTGCGAAAAATTTATTATCATAAAATTATTATTATTCATTATGTGTTTATTTGTGAAAAAAATGGGATAGAGAGTGAAACTGAATAGAATAAAATTGAAATGATAAGCCCAACATTTATTATTGTTTTCATTTTGATTTTTACCAAAATACATTAAAAGCTCTAAAAAGTCTAACGTAAAAACGTGTACGTTAAAGGGTTAGATTAGTGAATTAAAAAAAATTAGTGAATATATTAGTTTCAAAGGACGAAAATGTTAAAATCTTATTGTTCTTTTGCAGGCATGTTTAGTAGGTATTGTAGTACCAGAGCAAAAGGTGATAATGAATTGGTGCAAACTAAACGGAATTGAAGGAAGTTGGAAAGAAATCTGCGAAAACAAAGTATGTATGAAATAAACTGCTAATGACAATAGACAATATATTCTGGCACAACACAGAAATTTTTTTTCATGTTTCATAAACATTTTTAATCCCCCAAAATCATAATTTTTATATGGTTTCAAAAGTACTTCCGTTATGTTATCTTGATAATATGACTATAATTTCAGTATGTTAACTTGAAACAATTTTGTAATTTTGCTTTAACTGACCAATAAATATCAAACTTCTTATAATAAGTTAACAATCTTGATTGAGTTTAAATACTGTTTACTATAATCTATAATGATTTTTTATATTTTATTTTGCAACCGGCGTTGCGCAGCTAACCCAATTCTGAATTTACGACTACCAATGTTCAACTCTGCAGCCTTATAACATTTAACCCAACCCGGAAGACAACTCCTGAATCAAGCATTGGGGTAAACTGGGATTTTGAAATGGAACTAACCTGCATTTCAGTTGAATGCACAGGAAAGCCACGAAAACCCCCCACGGTTAGCCTGACGGCGAGAGGATTCTAACCCATAATCTGTCTACCATTGAAGATATTTTACGTCAGCACTATGGTCGGTGTAAGCCGAGTGCAGAATTCGCATCGACAAGCCATCCCTGGGATTTGAACCTGAGTCACTTCATTGGGAGGCGTATGCTCTATCACTTGATCTAGCACGAATAATCCACAACGATTATCGATAATTAAAAAAAAACAGGATATGATATGTCTTATAGTAAAGATCCGTGGAGAAGGCAGTTGAAATGTTCGACTCCAATTCCAGCTTCGACTCTAGACTTTTTTGTGAGCTGGACTTCGATTCCAACAGCGACTTACTTATATTTGACACAAATATTTACCAAATCTCTTTAAAGCTTTATTATAAATAGTAAGTAAATATTGAATATAAATGACATATTTTTATTTTTCATATGTACGATTAAAGTCACAGATATTTTAATTAAACTCGCACTTCATATTTCAAACATAATGATTGATAAAATAAGTTTAAAATAAGCTATTTCTACACAACATTAAAATTCTGCAAAACCATTATGAGAAAAAGATAGACATCAAAATGTCACACTTTTGCTCATATAAGCATTTTGTTACAAGAAGATTCTTTAATGAATGGAACGGTTGTAAATTGTTGTAATTGCTGTAATGCATTATATTCATTATCATATATTTTTAACCGGTAGAACTATTGTATCGAAATCAGAATTTTTCTAGGAGAATTAAAAGGCATTTACACACTATAATTTATGTGTGATTTAAAAAGAATTAAAGAGAAATAAAATTATAATAGCAATAGAAAATATTCAATTAGTTTGAACGCGTACATCACATCACTTTTTTCTTGAAGCTGCTTTTAGTATTGCTTTAATATAAAAAAATACTGTATGAAACGGGTTAATTAACTTTTCAATTTAGTTAAATAAACTTAGTTTTAGAATTTATGAATCTAAAATTAACTTATTAATTATTAACTTACTAATATCAATTTTTCCGAAAATTGCAAATTTTTTAACTATTTCTTTTCAATAACTCAGTAAAACATAGACACACAAACGTTAGTGACGATAAGTTCTAATTTAAATAATTGCCGCTCTTTTCAGTTAGCTGTATTTGCTACATCATGCATAATTTGCTTACGAAATTGCACAAATCGAGCAGGACACTAAAATATGGCAGACTAACTTGTTGTTAGAAATGACAAATCTTTTAACACCGCTGCGAAATCTTATAAAATCTTTTTTTTTAAAAAGTGATTGAGAACTAGGGCTAAGTAATAACATAAACTTTCAATTAGAATTTTTAACTTTGAATTGCAGCAAAACAAGACCTATAAAGGATTTTGCAGACAATCATTTTCCGCTTATCATGCGAAAAAATAGTAAAGTTTCTTAAAACGTGCTATTTATCAAACATTTAATTCTAATTAGTGCTCTGCTGTAAGTTTAAATTAAAACGAGGCAAAATAAATTAAATTTCTGATAACGGATATTGAATTATTTTATATGACAAAGATAATAAAAAATGTATGTTTCTTTATTCAAGAAACTATAATTTTTCAAGACGATGTTATAACGGAGATAATGGTTTTGTTAAAAGCGAAAAGAACACAAGCCTTGTAGGCATCGTGTTAAAATTCCACAAATAAATAAATAAATAAAAAATGATAATGTGGTTCCATTTTTCTTTGTGAAGCACTTTAAATCAAATTGATTTATAATTTTTTTTCTTTCCTTTTTTCCAGTCAATAAAGAAACTAATTTTAGAGGACATTATAGATATGGGTAAAAAAGCTGGCTTAAAATCATTTGAACAGGTAAGAAAGTGTTTTGATTATTCGAAAGAATCATCATTTGAATTTAAAATTATACTAAAAAAAATGTTGGGTCAGAAAAAGATTGAAAATTAGTGTTCATTTCTCACACTTGTGGGCATAGGCTACCGATAATGTCAACAGTCATTTATCTAAAGGTACTTTAAGATGGAATCGAGTCAACATGTTTTATATACTAGCGAATTGGAATTTAATAATTGTAGTGGTAGCTACACTACATTACACCCTCACCAGAATTTTATCTGTGATGGAATTCGATTAATGTATGCCCCTAGTTGATTCATCACTGTTTTGTAAGAGGATGGGAGAGCTGTATTAAGATCACAATTGTGGGATGTTTGCTCTTGCGTTGCTATTAGCAGTAGAGTGTGTACTGGCCCCCATTGTGTGTGATATGAGTTGCAACAACGTGAGGAGGACAATGTTCGCAAATAGCAAGTCATCTGTTCACTGTCAACCATCCATGGAACTAGATGTGTTTAAATCGAAATGGGTGTTTCCGTCGAGGTAGGCGAGTTCAGATCGCGACCGCGAGTCACAATTGGGGGGGGGGGGCTAGGCTGCCTTCAACGTCCACCGTCATCTATCAAAAGGTACGTCGAGATAGAATCGAGTTAAAATGTCTTATATACTAGTGAATTGGAATTTAATAGTTGTTGGTGTTGCTACATTACACACTGTTGGATGTGGCTAGGTATTGTTGATAACGTCACACAAGATCTGCAATAACTGGCTCTTGCCGTTGGTTTATGATTCAACTTTAATGATAATTCGAAGACAATAATGGTGCAAGCGTACAGTACGCTATCTCAATTTAGATGGGTGGATAGATGATTTTAGTTATCATTTTATTTTCGCACCACTCTCCTCAACCGCCCAATTATGCACGCTTTTTCCTCCTCTGAAACCACGGAAGATCTTATATTGGAGTGAGATCAGATCCTACTAAATCTTTGATTGGAGAAACTATTGTTTGATCATAAACTTAGTCTTTAGCACGAAGACCACGGTGCAAGCTGTTCTAGGCGAGGTACAGGGCAGCTCAAATAAAAGTCACCCGAATAACGGGGTTCCAGGTACAAAGTAATAAGGCAAAGTAAAGGAAATAGTTTACTGGCCTTGTGGAGAGAGTTGTTATCGACAATGTCAGCCTTCATCTATGAAAGGTATCCCACCATAGAATCGAGTTAACATGTCTTATATACTAGTGAATTGGAATTGTATTTTTGTAGTTGTAGATACACTAGAAGCCTGATTATAGAAGATATTGAAAATGACCACCATTTATCTCCTGGCACTTTCGGGCCCTGATCATGACAGATCTAAACTGTGCTTCTGGAATTGCTACAAACTCATCAGAAATGTGCTGTTGCTGTTCTTTAAGATTATGAGGGTTGCTGCAATACATCTTAGACTTGAGGGCTCTCCATCACACTCTGAGAAATCAAGTGACCAGCTAGGATCGACACTAGACTGACCTCTACAAACGAATCCGTCGGGAGTGTAGCTTGTGCAAATGTGATCCATGGTTCGTCGGGGCTGTAAAGGCAAATTGCTCTATCAAGTTGGAAGTAACTGTAGTCCTTTTTCCTCTCCAGTTAGTGCGATTAAAAATATTGGAATTGCAAAGATCCGAATTAACTGTCTAATGAAGAAAATAGGGTCAATAATGCGGCGCAAAGACGTTGCACACCAAAACTTCTGATCCAGCAATGATGCACGCTGAATGTAATGCGAACTCTCCGTTACCCAGAACCTGTAATTCTGCTAATGTAGTTTGGTTACATGCATTCGTATTTACTATTCCAGGCCACCGTCATTTACAACGCTCAGTATAAACTCACCTCACACACTGGTTGCTGGTCTCACAATCCAAGCTATAGCCTTCTGTTTCGAATTCTGATTTATACCTAGGTCGACCCCAATACTGACATAAAATAATGGGCTCACAGCATAGAAATAACGAGTTAATATGTGTATCAGTTAAACTGAAAATTTCTACAAGAAGTGCTTATTCGTTTCCTTAAACTCAAGATCACATTCTCTCTTTAAGTATGTTCAAAAACACTAAGTAAAGCAAACATTTTGTACCAGCTTTGTGAATTGCCTACTTATGATGACCAAATTACAAAATTGTATGATCTTTGAAACGCCTTCTATTTGATTTTATTAGCAAAACAGGGAAAAGAGTCCTCTGTTTGTTGTCGATCACTAACCCCACGATTGCATCGCAATAATTTTTGTTTCTTAGTATACAGCAGTTTTTTCTCTCCTTCAAATGCTTAAATAATTTATTTAAACTGTATTTAATAAAAATAATGTTAATATTTTTCGCTCGCGTTAGTAAGGCCCAAAACTCTTCCTCATAATTTCATTAAGATCAATTTGTGAACGTAACTCATTTTACTTAGCGATAATTTGATAAAAATAGCATTTAAAATTAAAGCTTTATTATCATAGCAGATTTGGTGAATTGACAACCGCACTGAGAAAAAAAATATGGTCAAAACTACCAGAATATGGTAAAATTTACCGTATTTCTGGCTCTATGGAAACACCAAAAAGCTTGATAATTTTTACCGAAACGCTTTGGCAATAATTCATGATAAAATCAACGATAAAATATGGTTTTATAATGAGTGATCAAATTTGTTAAATGCATAATTTTATAATTTTAAAATTAAAAAGCATTTTTCGGATAAATTAAATTTTTAATTTTGTATTGTATAAGAACTATAGTTTTTAAAACCAGAATTACAGATAAATCGTTACCAGGAATTCCGGTAAGGGTTTACCCATTCAGAAATTCTGTAAGGGTAATAATGAACAAAAACATTATTTTAATAGTTGTCAAAGAAATTTCAAAACTATTCAAGCAAAGTTATTCCATAATCATTCGAATTAACGTTTTCACTTGAGCTGGAGAAATATCAAATTTCTTTCAATTTTACAATAACAGTATTTTAAAATGTTTTTTCACTATATATCTTGAATACCATGTTTTAGAAATATCAAATATGCGATAATTTTCGACAACGATACTCACCTTATATGATGATTTTGCAAGTGCTATCGACAACTATATCGAATACAACAATATCAAACATTATCGTTAATCATAATTATAAGTCGTTAGAGGTATTTATTAACAACGATATATATCATTACGAGAACAACGCGAGGATTATGGATGATAATAATTATTTTATGTGATATTATCGTAAGATTCAATTTTCATTTCAATTGGATAACGGGATTATTAACCTTTGCAAAAATAATGTATAGTTCGTTCACCAGGAGTTGATACTTGACACCTACTTCATCACGTGGTATCCGACACCTACTTCATCACGTGGTATCCGACGAAACTATTTCGCTACTTTTAGGAGAAAAATGTGAACAATCATGAACAAGGTTACCATTTGGAGATCGTATGACAAAAATATTTATTTCGCAATCTTCCTGCTCATTTTATTATCATTAAATATTTCATAAATTTTACGATATTTCTCTTTTTAAAATGAATAGTTTGTCCTTTTTGAGACATTTTGCTGTAATATATTTAATTAGCTAGGGTAACGAAAGGTATAATGGCAGATGATACAGCGAAGTAAGTGACTGAAAAAGAATTCACTGTTTACGTTTGACGCGCATTAAGGGTTGTCTCAATTTCAAGCGTGGAGACGTTTCTCCTTTTACTCCCGAGCTGAAATAAACTCTTCGTTCGAGGAGGTGGAGCCAAGTGCCAACTCAGGTGAACGAACTATAAATTAGTTAACCTCGGATAATATCTTGAGATATTTCCAAATAGCGATATTTTCTGACAATATAACGCGATACTGATATTACAATACTTCTCTGCACTTGTTTCCATACCTTAAAATTAAATATAGTATTTTTTTCAGGTCAAAGAAATTTACTTGCATCCAGAGCTATTTAGCATAGAAAATAATTTGTTGACGCCCACAATGAAGACTAAAAGACCTGTTTGCTCAAAGGTTTTCAAGCCTCAAATCACTGCAATGTATAAAAATTTGGATTAATGCCGCCAAACATTATTGGACGATATCTTAACATCTATTTTTACGCTATTTACTGGAAATTCCTTAAAAAGTCATGACATGTAAATATAAATATCAAAAGAATCCGGAAAGCTTTAATTACATTTTTGGTAAAAGAATATCCTTTGTTTGGATAAAATAAATACTTAAACTAGAAGCAACATTTTTCACAAGCATTTCTTTTGGATGTATTGTGAATAAAATGCGATATTTTTGTTATGTTTATTAATAAAAAGTTTTATTTTCGTGTGGTATTATCTTTTTATACAAGAAATTAATACTTATTTTTCTCACAATTACTTATTTTCAATCTTAAATTGTGTGGTGATGTTCAGTTCATCACCACACACATTAAGATAAGAATAAAAATGAATAACAATTAAAAATAATATACTCTTAAGTAAGAGAACAAGATCATTAGAATGATCACTAATAGCAAGGAGTTAAAACTATTTATTTAATATAGATCATTTAAGATATTTAGAGTTACAAATTTTGTTCCAGGAAGGCATTCACTCCAATTAATAATAGGTACATAAAAATTTAACATGAAATTATACATTATGAAGCTGCACAGCTAATTAATAAATAAATAAAAAATAATTATGGGGTGATAGAAAATTTTATAATCTAACTTAGCTGTTGAGGATCCTCATATTTTTGTATCTTAACCTCAGCTCTCCAAAACCATGTGTGTCCTTGCCTTTTCTCTCACCTCTTCTAACCAAGCCCCCAAAGCATACTCAACTCTTATTGGCTGTTTCCACCATCACAAAATAAGTAGGGCTATACTTGCTATTTCTTTTTTATTTTTATTTTTGGCTAAATTATTTAAGGGCAGAAAAGGGCAGGTGAAAACTTATGAAAGAGAAACTAAAACTTTAAAATAATTATAGCAGTGCAGCAAAGATAAAAGTAACAAAACATCATAAAAGCAATACCACATATATCTTTCCCCCTGGGGAAAAAAAATTTAATAAATTAAATTTTTTTCTTGAAAGAAGTCACTGACTAGTAGTATCTTTTGGAAGGAGTCACTGATGAGTTATTCTTGCATAAGGATGGTTACCGTTACATCACAAACTATGGAGTCTGACGTTGAAGAGAAGTGAGGTGGGAGAACTGAGTGATCAGGATGAGCAGTGTGTCTGTTAGGAAAGTTCAATTCAATAAATTAACATGAAGGTGTTATGTTTTATGGATGAGGTTGCTGAAGGGATCAATGATGCATATAGGTATCATGAAATATTATTTTTTTAAGACAATGGCTACCACCCAGCTGAGCATTTACCAATGAAAAGCGAAACAATCAGGAGATATTTGTGGCCTTATGATGCCTCAAGAGTGCCTATCTTTCACACGCCATTGAAGAGCTCAGAAGTTAGAGGCATGGAGCTAGGAGTAGATGGAGGAGACGCTAGCAGAAATTCGTGAAGCCGAAAACTCGGCAATGTTAACCGCGAAATTAACCGTCGGCCATCTTACTTACTTCAAAACATTGGCAGTTGTAACTCGTTTATGCTTGAATTGTCGTATGTTCGGACAGTTATTATCATTTTTATTTTATTCGTTATTCGAGTAGTCTTACTTTGTCTTATTATTTTTTCTTGGACTTCTTATTATTTTAATTATGACTTCTTGCATCTTAAGGTTTTATGTTACTTTATAAAAATTTCAGCTGTAGTTTTATTTATTTCTGTCGAAGTTATTCATCTGAAAATTGATATTTTTTAAAACCAGAAAGTATCCCATTGCATTCCAAATATGAAATAGATAAAAAAAATTTAAATTTATTAAAAATCTAATATTATATACAAGTGATTGCATGTAATATTAGATAATAATAAAGTACTCCATGATTACATATACATTTATTCTAAGCTTTATAGTGATGTAGTTTTTGCTTAATGTTAAGGTATTGATAGTTTCTGTTCTATNAGATGTATCACGAAAGAAATCATATGAAGAATTACTTTCTTCACTTTGAACATCTGTTTGTACATCACGATTTAATTGAGCCCTACAGGGTTGTGATACAAAATAACCAAAACTTAGTAATTCTTTCTCATTAATGGGCTTCATTAAGGCAGGATATAATTTTTTATCCGCAGCAGGGTGTCTAACCTCACACCCTTTAAGGTTATCACTAATTACCGAATTTTCTTCCTCAAATATGGAAGACGATGGAAATATTTCTCTCTCTGGAATTTTTATTATACGATTGACATGAGATGTAGTAGTTTTTAATGGGTTAGCTACTAAAGTTAATTCAAACAGGACAGGGGAACATTTCTTTGACACCCTATAAGGACCATGGTTTAATTTTGAGAGTTTTTTCGAGGTGTGAACTTTAATTTTAGGTGTATGAAGATAAACCAAATCACCTAATTTTATATCTTTGATATGTCTAGTTGTGGCAGTAGAAGCAACCTGGTTATCAGCAGCTTTCTCTAAATTTTCTTTTACAATGGCAAATGCCTGTTGCAATCTAGGAATCAATTCTTGAACATAGGTAGGATTATCATTGTATGTCCTAAACTTTGACGAAAATATTAAGTCATATGGCATCACAAGATCACGACCATATACTATATATGCTGGGGTTTGCTTTATTGTACGATGGAATGCTGTGCGAAAAGCCATTAGAGCCAAGGGAACACGTTCACACCAATCTGTTTGGTTTATACTAACAAGATGGCTGAGGGAATCAATGAGTGTTTTGTTTAATCTTTCTACTACACCGTTTCCTTGCGGATTATAACTTACAGTATGCTGCTTTTGAATGCCAAGTGTATCATATACTTGTTGCATTGCTTCGGAAATGAAATTCGTTCCTCGGTCTGAGTAAAAAGTTTCCATGAGTCCATGACGTGAAATGAAATCAATCAAAACTTTAGCAACAGTAGAGCTTTGGATGTTAGGTACAGGATATGCCTCAGGATACCGTGAAAAATAGTCTGTTATAACAAGTAACCATTTATTTCCATTTTTTGAAGTCACTAGGGGTCCAACTGCATCAATGCTACATTTTTGAAAGGGTCTACTGGCAGTTGGAATCTTTTGTAAAGGTGCCTTGTTTGAGGCTTTAAATCCTTTACGTTCGATACACGAGGGACAAGAAGCAACATAATTTTTAACATTTTTGTACATATTATACCAAAAAAAATTTTCTTTGACTCTATGAAGGGTTCTAGACAAACCTGGGTGGGCAACACTGTTATTATCATGACATTGTACTAATACAAGCTGAATTAAAGTTTTGGAAACAACTAGTTTAGGATTTAAAGAATTAACCCTAAAGCACAGTAAGACACCATTCTTTCGAAAAAATTTTGGAGAAGACGGGGAAAATTTTACATGAACACTTAATTTTCTCACAATTTTCTGGCAATGGGGATCATTTTTCTGTTCATCTATTAATTGGTTTTGTGATAGGTTAACTAAATGAAAGACTTTTAAATTGTTTTGTTGGGACTGTACACAATTTACGGTATCATTTGTTTTTAACCGCGATAGGTAGTCTGCAATAAGATTCAATTTTCCTGCCTTATGTATTACTTTGTATGAATAAGATTGCAAGGTCATTATCCAACGTGCAATCCTTGAATTATGATCTTTTAGATTTAGTACGTAAGATAAGCTCTTTTGATCGCAATAAATGGTGAATTCTTTTCCGATTAAATATTGTTTGAAGTGTTGAACACCAAAAATAATTGCCAATGCTTCCTTTTCAAAAACAGAATAATTTATTTCACTATCCTTTAATTTCCTAGAGACAAAACTGATAGGATGCTGAAAACCAGTCTCATCTTCTTGAATTAATACAGCACCCAACGAATGTTTACTCGCATCAGTACTCGGAACCATAACTATAATTTTAATATCCAGTTATGGTTATCCAGTTATGGTTAAATTTTAATATTTGCGATTATTATATTCAATGTTATCGTTAATTTGATATTGACAATTTTCAAAGAATATCATTAATAAGTTCCAGATGTGTATCTTAATATTTTATAATTTATCTAAAATTTGAATAATTACGATTTTTAAAATAAATTTTCTAATTCCATTATTAACAGAATATTTTTACAGGGCATCAATCGTAAAACACTAATTAAGATCTAGCTCACTAATTAAGGTCAATTTTGAAACTGACCTGTATTTTAGCGTGAGGCGACACTGTAAATAACTTTAGTGTATCGCATCACCAAAAATGGCGACAACTACTGCATATCAAAATGGTGTAGTGATACACCATACACAACTCTTTCTTTTTCGTGCTTCAATACACCAAGAATTGAAGCTAGTTCCCGTTGTAGTGAAACACCAAGAATGATGCACTACTTGGTGGAAATGGTCAATGGTGGCTGCTACCACTTTTTGTTCACAGTAACACTAAAATTTATAATTACAGTTCATCATCATCTTCATAGTTGGCCAGACAGCCCATTGTGAGTCAATGCCTTCCTCTGAAGATTTCTCCATGACGACTTCTGATTTAGAATTACAGTTAGTTATGATTAACATAAAAGTCAATAAAGTAATTTTTACTATACAATATAAAGAAAAAATCAGTAATTTAGGGAGCATATTGGTACTCTAATTTTTAAAATAAAATTAGTTTATTAGTAGTACATACACAAAACACAGGGATAATATTAATATGATATGATTAACATGACTTAACAAAGCGTTATCAAAAATAAAAATTAAATGTTATAAAATTATTTAATACAATTGTCAGATTTATGCTAATCTTCTTATGAGAACATAATTATCTTGATTATACAACTCAACACATACATGCCCCTTTTATAACAGTTTACTTCTGTTTCTGTGTAATAGGTTCTGCAGCGATGAGAAGAAAAAATTAACTTTTACCTTCTCGAATTCGATTGTAAACGATTTAAGGTTGTCATCTGATGCTTCCTAATGCACGCCAAAATTGGAAAAAATAATTCGTAAATGCATCTGATATTGGTATAAGATTCCTCATTTATTAGTGTTTAGATTAAACACCCTTTAAAGTACTGAGAAGATTCGGTACTAACTTAAAATAAGTTCAGTATTAACCTGATTCGGTTTTAACTTAGAAGTAGGGGGTTGTTGTTAATTTACGTCGCACTAGAGCTGCACAATGGGCTATTGGCGACGGTCTGGGAAACATCTCGGAGGATGATCCGAAGACAAGCCATCACAATTTTGATCCTCTGCGGAGGGGATGGCATCCCCGCTTCGGTAG